GGAGGGAGGGAGGGAGGGAGGGAGAGGGAGAACCCACAAGGATGAGGCATGCTACTTTTTAGTGATGACTTTAAAGTCATTAAAAAATCTATCCAATTTCATCATGCTGTGAGCAAGAGAATTACAAGAAATGTGAAGTACTGTGCACAGGACATATCATAAATTAGGGGTCAATAAATCTTACCTTTCTCTCAGCACAGAGGAGAAATGGTACTCACAACATGCTGTTAATGGTGTGCTAGGGAACTAACTGTGTAGGACTTTACAAAAAGTTCCCTACAACTTCACGTTAAGTTAAACATCGCTCTGCTCTGTTGGTACCCAGTAATGAATAGTGTAGGCAGCTTTGGAAGGGAGCTTTCTGCTAATAGTTGACTGTTGGCACTTCCCCCAAAGAAAATGGACAGAGAATGGAAAGTCTAGCTCTGAAAATAAAAACAAATACCAATCAGTGCTTCCTTGCACACTGTGCAGACCCCCATTGCTCCTCTGTCCTCTCCTTCCTTCTCCCTCCCAACCCCACTCTCACCTCACCCTTCCCCTATCTCCCTCTCTCCATTCCCCAAATCCCTCCTCTCTCTGTGAGACAGGGTCTCTATGAGTTTCTGGCTGGCTTGGAACTCACTATGTAGATTAAGCTGGCCTTGAATTCATAAGACATCTGCCTGCCTCTGCCTCCCAGTGCTGAGACTAAAGGTGTGTGCCACCAAACCCAGCATCCCTCCTCTTTTTAAAAAAATGTAATCTAAGCTACAGTCATAAGCAATTAAGAAGAGCTGGGGTCCTCTCATGGGGTTTCCTTTTCTCTCAGGGAACTTTTAGAAGGGCCACAGCTTGTCCCTGTCAAGGCTGGCATGGATCTGTACTATGCATCTAGAATGAATAGTTTGAAGGAAAACTGAGAAGACACGGCATGTGGCTGTGGACAAAAGCCCCTGAAAGCCAGCCACGTCTGCAGAGCCTGCCTCACTCACCAGCCTCTTGGTGCTGAAGAAAGACTGGGGTACTGCAGGTCCAGAGGCTAGGCACCTCTCTTGGGTCATTCCTGTACCTGTTTTGTGTTGGAACATCTTAGCAGACCACTAGCTTCTACCAACCCAAGAGCTAAAAATGCCATCAAATAGCATCTTGGGCCTATAGAGAAGCTTTCCCACCCTGCCATACCCACTCCCTGATGTATAGACAAATGCAGTTTAAATCTGAGTTGATGTATGACTTTCTTTGTTCTGTAAGACTATAAAAAGTTCATAAAAACTTTTTACCAGGGCAACCTCAATCTGTTCTCCCAGGTCATGGTCACTCAAAAATGGCTCTAGAATAAATGATCTTATTCCCTTTAAGATGAGAGCTCTGTTTTTTGCATGGCAATAAAAATCTACAAAGACTCATTGAAATAATCAACAAAAGCAACTTCTAGGAGTCTTGTACATTGGGGCCCTATCTAGGTTCTGTAATTCTAATAAGTAAGTAAGTAAGTTGATTTTTTAGAATTGGGTTATTAGATCTCATTTGCATGTGCTCTGTGTCATTTGTTCCAGGCCTAGCTCACAGAGAGCTTAATAATGCAGTGAAATAAGAATTTTTTTCTTTGAAGCTGTTCTATGAAATGAGAATTAAGAACCAATGTCTCTATGATACATATTTAAGATTCTATCAGATGCTGTGACGTTAGCATAATTCTAACCTAACTCATGCTGCCTTTGCTCTTGCTAGGGCTAAGCTACAATACAAGAGCCCTGTTTTAGAGAAGTTGAGACCTCTGGCAAAAACTCCAGCTACGTTTTGCTAGGAAATGAGTATCCAACAAACAAACAATCCACACAATCATAAACCACACTGTGTGTAACCATCCTCATCTTAGTTTTCCACTACTGTCATTATTTCCCTCAAGGAACTACATTTCTACATCTGACTTTTAGGGGACACAGGAGGGAGCAGGAGGCTCCAAGATGAAACAATCCAATTCCAAGAAGATGGCACAGAAGCACCTGATGGGGATCTCGTCATCACTGTCCAGGTGCAGCAGCCGCCCCTGCAAACGCCTTTCCTCACTCCGGAGCTGCTTCCTCATTTCTGATAACTCCATAATCACATTTTTTTTCTCCTCTGCAAATTCCCATTGAGAAGTTAAAAAAAGAAAAGAAAAAGCAATAGATTAACTACCAAATACAATCTGGCTTTTCATAAAGCTAAAAGACTCAGAGAAATGTTTATGGATGATACGTGTGTGTGTTTACATACATACACATCACAATGTCCATCATTAAGAGCCACAGTCTGACTTAGGGAGATGTTGCTGGGTTTACAGAGGGCAACTGTAAAGGGCATAACAGGGGGCTGACTGCCACTTATGCAAGACATGGGGGCAGGGAGCAGCACTTTCCCCATCATTTTTGCAGCTTTCTAACACTCGGTAATTACCGTAAATAGCCTCTCATTTATGCAAGTCCTACCTACCTTCTGCACGGAGTTGGTTCTTCCTTGCAGGTACTGGAGGAGACTGTGCCCGGGACATGGAGCTTTCCTGTGGACAACAAGACAGACACAGCATCTCTTCCCTATTCCTAAGTATAAAAAGAAGGCAAACTCTACACTGTAAACCACATAGAAGGCTCCTTGCCTCTAGCCGATGATAATCCCTACGTGCATGCTGTAGCTGTTACATGTCTCCCACTACTCATTTTTACAGCCTCTTCTAAGTAAGTATACTCCTCCCAGCCCATGCACAAAACTCTCCTGTTCTTCACCATCAACTGCTCATCAGCATCTTCCCTTCACAACTAGGCTTCACAGGGTTGTAGAGATGGCTCAGCAGTTAAGAGCACTTACTGTTCTCTTCAGAAAAGAATAATAAAGGCTTATTTCTGAGATCTACTTCCCTACCCCATTCACTCCCTAATACACAGCTGGCATCTGCCTCTACACGACTGCCCTTATCAAACAAAGTGACAGGAGGGCTCTAGCCACCCCAGGCATGGCGACCATGGCTCTGGCAGGCCATGTCCTTCTCCCCCAGTCCCTCTGCCTTGTTAAAAACCACTAGATTGCATTTCTGAAGCTGGCCACTAAGGTTTATTCCATTATTTGGCCACTTCCTCCTCCTGAGGCTGACTACCAAGGTCCAACTATCAAGTATTGAAGTTCAGTGATCAAAAGTCCCCTTTGGCTCACCTAATTAACATGCCCAATTACAATCAAACACCTCATTCTAACACAGGGTTCCCCTTTTACCTTTATAAACCACTATTTTCCTATAAACCATCTCTGACTCTTCTATACCGAAGCAGACCTTTGTCTCCCACTCTGGAACAAATAACCCTTTCCTCGTCTCCCCTGTTCCCCTCCTCCCTACCTCATCCTCTCTCTTCTGTCTCTGTCTCTTATTCCCTGCTCTTTGTCCCTCTGGAGCAAATGAATCTCCTTTGTGCTAAGAAACTGGTATCAGGGAGTCTTGTACTGATACTGGTCTTTTCAAGGATCCCCAAGTCACATACTCAGTGAGCCATTCCATCCTTAATTTCCCTGGTGAGTAACAACTAGCACGGCGGACACTTTCTGTCTGTAGCTCCCCTCTGCTGTTCAAACACTGTTAATTTCCTCGAACTTCTGTCTGCAGCCCTTTGTACTCCTCAACATACATACCCTGTACAGTCACATTAATTTAGTAAGCACCAATGTTAACTGTTTCCCAAGCTATAAATCCAGTCTAATGCCTTCCTCAACCACAACTCAATTTTCAAACTCCAACTCTATAATCATCACCAGGAACCTGAAAAGTATCCCTGACCTCTTACCACCATAAGTCCTTACTCTCACCTCCTGACTTCCACAGAAGCATCTTGTCCTGTGTTTAGTCTTCCCTACCCAGGAGAAGACATGCCCACATAACTCTCCTTGAATGTCACAAGGATTCCTACGATTTTCAACCACAGAGCAAATGAATCAGACTGTCTGAAGTAGAATTCAAGAATGTTTCTAGCTCACTGCTACACTTGCTCTGGTAGTGCACATCTTTGCAATCCACAAGCCGATGGAGGAAAGTCAAAATGCACAACACTCCACCCCAGCACAGGCAGCAGCTCCACTCCTAGCTGCCTGTGCACAAAGACAACATCAGACCAGACCAAACCAAACCACAGGAGGTTCTTCATATGGCCTGCCCTACCTTTGAGTTTGCAGATGCTCAAAGTCTGACCTTCCTAGCTTCCTTTTACAACTATAGATTGATCTAAACACAAGGGAACCCACAAGTGTAACTACAGCTAGTTAGAACATATTTTTTCCAAGACTTTCTTAGCCAAGCAAGGTGGTAAACAACTTTAATCTCAGCATGTAGGAGGCAGAGTTGAGCAGACGTTTGTGGCCTGGAGGCCAACTTAGTCTATATAACAAATTCCAGGACAGCCAAGGATACAGAATGAGACCCTGACTCAAAACAAACACATGACAACAATGACAAGAACAACAAATAGGCGTTCTTAAGGAGCTGTGACAAACCAACGCCATTTGCTTTAACTGACTGTGGCTTCCTTAAAAATTAGGCTTTAGGGCATCAAGGACTATCAGCCACAACCGCTACCAACATGCAAAAGAATGAGAACCTCATAAAGTACACATCCCAAATAACTCAAGATTAACTCTGAGAAAAAAGTATATACATGAATGAAGGAACTTATGATGGTGTCGACTGAAGGAGGCCTTTGGAGTTTGCTTGCAATTTTGTTCTGAAGAGCAGGAACTACAGGAGAAGGCTGTCTCAAGTGCTGAAAAAAAAAAATTCTTTCTGTACATATATATGTATATATACATATAGACACATACATTATATATTCAATAGTCATAGTCATTTAAGTTCAGATTACTTTTGCTTTTAATAAAATACTCTTTATAAAACAGTCAAATTTATAATATAATACATAAAAAAAGAATCACGAGGTAAATAAAATTCAAGGGCAATATTTTTGTTGGTATACTTGCCAGTCAGTCACTGGCGAGCTGCTGTGAGCCCACAGTCCACATGGCTCTGGTCTACAGACTCCATCTAGGTAGCACAGCTGAACATAGGACTAGAGTGGCAAGACTGAAAATGGCCACTAATTAGGTTAAAAATTCCAGCTGTGGCACACCTCACAAATGACAGTAACAGTGTCCACACTCAGTTGAAACCCTCCTTTCTCCCCTTTTCTAACTATTCCCAACCCTGCCAGGCCAGAACCCTGGGCCTGACATGCCTCTGTCCAAGACATACCTTTGTTTCATCTCCGATAATATTTTCTCTCTCATAGTAATGCTGAAGTTGCAAGTTATGCTTTTCTTCCTCTTCTTTCTTCTTTCTTTCTGCTTCTTTTCGCCTCTCTTCAGCTAAACGAATAAGTTCTTCATTTTTTAGCCTTTGCTTTAAAATTTAAAAAAGACACACTTCTTGAATGTACTTGTAGTACATTTAAAAATATGTTACTTTGTCTAAAAGAAGTAAAATCGAATATATAAAAGATAGTGTTCTACAAAATGAAGATACTATCTATTTAATAAAATAGTAGACATCTTTTATCAGCCTAGAGTTAAAAACAATTTGCCTCTTTCTTAAATTAAAATAATATACAATGTAGACAACAACAGGGCACTTTAAAACTGGATTTCAAGATAGGAGCTGTCTCCTACACTACTACACCTCGTCTCAAGTCAACATAAATCTTCCCCTTCAGCTGGACAAACAGACGCACCTCCTCCTCCTTCTCCCTCCTCCGCTCCTGCTCCTCCTCGTACTCTTGCTGAATCCTGGCCCTCTGCTCCGCCAGCCGCTTTTCTTCCTTCTCTTCAGCAACCCTCAGCTTCTCACGCTCCGCTTCTTCTCGTTGCCTCTTTTCCTCAATCTAAGGGATTGGGCTGAGTGATTATCTTGCTCACCTACTGACAAGCTAGAACATCACTTTTTCTTGGATGCCTTCTGTTTCCAAGCTCTCGATTTTTTTGAGTGTCCTGTATTATACTTGGAAGGACACAGGACACTGTTAAAAGCTGCCAGTTAAATTCATCTCTGCTTAATACAGACTGTGTGAACTTGAGAACTGGACTTGAACTCAATGTTCTCACCTAGTAAGAAGTATGAATGTTCACTCTCCAGAGTGTTCAGGGATTGGTGAGATGTGGGGAGCACACTAGTTCTTCCTGCACAGAAGGGGCTGAAGCCATCTCTATGTCTTCATTACATAATTACAGTGACTGCCACCACATGTCAATAGGCTTGACCAAGAAGAGAACCCCACCCAGGAGTTAACCAAGTGTGTTAGCCTCTGTACGAAGAGTCATTTCCTCCCAGTGCTTTCTTTTCTCCCCACTGGCAGGTAAAGAGCAACTGAAATCCCAAGTGTTGGGAAGCAGCTCAGGAGCAGGTGCTGCCTGCACTCAGAACTGGGAGGCCATGCTCCCTCCCAGATATGTACAGAGGACCGACAGAGAACCAGAGGGTGCCAAAATTACACTTATCTCCAATAATCCTCTGAAAACAGAAGATACAGTGAAAGAATATTCTAAAGCAGAGCATATGTACAAGAGGCAGCCCTCAGAAACAGTGCATAATGCCCTCTGTGGAGAAAGCAGGAAAAATGGCAGAATGGGTCTTTTAAAAACAAAACTATTAATCTTCTAGTGTTCTGAAAGTTTCACTCTGAGGTTGCCCTTGAAGTCTCTAAGAAACGCCAGGAAGGCCTCAAACTTCGGGTGATTCTCCTGCCTTAGTCTTTCAAGTGCTAGGATTACAGGTGTGTGCCACTAGGCCCGTCTGCTATTGGATTCTTTTTTTTTGGTTTGGTTTTTCGAGACAGGGTTTCTCTGTGTAGCCCTGGCTGTCCTGGAACTCACTCTGTAGACCAGGCTAGCCTCGAACTCTTGAACTCAGAAATCCGCCTGCCTCTGCCTCCCAAGTGCTGGGATTAAAGGCGTGCGCCACCACCGCCCGGCCTGCTATTGGATTCTTATGATCTTCTTATGATCAGCTTTAGGCTATCCTTATAGATTATAATTATTAGCACTGCTTACAGACCTTTTGTTCAAATATTTATTTTCTGGAATTATATCATTTTCTCTTTCCTCCTTCCTACTTCCTATTCTCTCAAATTCATGATATATTACACACTCACACACACACACACACACACACACACAAACACAATATCATACTCAGTCCATATAATGTTGCTTTAAGTGTATGATTTCAGGGCTGAGTACTTGGTACTGGATAAGCAGCTGGCATGCTCTTCCCTAAGGAAGATAGTTTCTCCTGCTCTCAACATTCCTTAGTTGCTTGTAATTCTCTGTCTAGGGTTGAGACCCCTTGATATTTTGCCCTTCTGTGTCAGTATGTTTACTGGTGCTGTACTTGTTCAGGTCTTGCATAGGCAGCCATGTTGATGCAGGGATCATCTAGGAAAGATTGTAAGAGGGAAAGGAACAGGGAGTTTGTTGAGAGACTGACTGTGTCAGGTTGGATTGTACATTTTTACTATAGAAGGTATTTTTACGCAATCTGAATTTCCTGTAGCTTTGAAGTTGCACGATGACAATCTTCTGCATAATAGGAACTTCAATCTTCCTACATGAACTGTGAGTTACCAACTACAGCCTCTCCTGATAGTTATCATGACAGCTAAATGCGCAGCCTAATATTCAGTATCAAGCATGTGCAGACACCAAGTATGGCAAATCCAGAAACAGCACTGATGCTGCAGTAGTGTCAAGCCCAAACCTGGGCTATCTTCTCCTTCTTCCATGGGAAAGAACAAACAACAAAATTACAAAGGATACTTGCTACATTTAATCAAGTACTGCCAATGTAAGTATCAACAGACCATAATCTAAAAGACACAGTTTAGTGCCAACAGAAATGTTAAGTGTTTTTAAAATGAAGAAAATTATCTTCTAGGCCAGTTTTCAAACTATATAACACAAAAGTACTTTATAAGATGTTTGAATTTTTAATTAATTTTTTCATTAAATTATTAAAAATTTTTAATTTATTTTTAAAGCTATACTAAAATTCACTCATAAATGTTATTTACTCAATTTGAATAGCAGCAAGGCTTCTGATGCATTAAGTTAACTCTTACTTATTCGTGCAAATCCTTGACTAAAGCTTCTTTTCTTGCTTTTATGAAAAATTTGCTCATTTTAAAACATTTACTTCAATTCTTAAGCTTCAGATATTTTCTGTAAGATATTAACCGATAGTAACAATAAATGTCATTTAGCTGCTTGGAATTCTATGTGATTTGTGACTGAAGACAAAAAGGATTTTGTGACCACTAAGGAAAAAAAACCACCATTCAAGAGTAATATATTCAGCAGGGCAGTGGTGGCATACACCTTTAATCCCAGAACCCAGGAGACAGGGTGAGTGCCACAAAAGCCAGGGCTGTTACACAGAGAAACTCTTTTTCAAAAACAAACAAACAAAAAACCAAAAAAAAGAGTTCTCTCCTCACAAACGCACTGGGGATTCACGAGAGAGAGAGGAGTGAGAGGAGTGCCAAGGGATCAATGTGACGGTGGAAGCCTCCTCTCTTTTGGTGACTTTCCAGAGGAAAGATTTCCTAGTGGCCCATAGATGAGACTGCACTACCCAGGCTTCATAAGTTAGAAACTCCATCTGTGCTTTAGCTGCAGGTCCTAAAATAGAGATACTGTCTGTAGAAAATCTAACATGTAATAATATCCTACACATGTAAAAGTATTTTGTGAACAATAAAGTGATTTAAAAACTAACATCTGATCATTGCACCTTACCCCATGGTAGTTGTATAAAATAAACTTAGAAAATAACTTACATTTTGAGTTGCTGTTGTCATGGTAAAAGGACTACCACAGCTGATTCTGCACCACACCCAACCTGTTGACCTGAGTGTCTGACATCTGTGGGACTCTATTATCTGTCACATTCTCTGTGAGTCATTTCCCTATAGACACTCACTGCTTTGATGAGACACACCCATGCTTCTGGTCTACCCAATCCTCCAGTAAAGAAATCAATACCAAAGGAAAAAATGTTTTCAGGCCGCCCTGAGATGTACATGTGTAGGTACAGAGAGCTGAGAGGGAGAGAAGGAAACCCAAGTCCCTCTGAGCAGACCTCTCTGTCATCTGGACTCAGCCCTCTACTCAGCGCCAAGCCAGTGCTGTGCATTCCTCAAGCCCACTGCTTAATAAACACTAGATGCTTAAGTGCTTTCTTTGTGAATAGTTTAAATATTTCACTACTTTAAATGATACACCTGCCTAATTAAATAAAAAAGAGGCATATAACTGCAAAATGTCATTATATTATATGTAAATGTTTTGTTTCCTGAGACTCTTGACTGGCCTTGAATTCTCAATCCTCCTGCTTAGTCAGAGTGCTGAATTGCACGCCTATACCACCAAACTCAGCTGAAATGTAACTTCTGTTTGTTTATAATCTATACTGAGCCAATGATATCACATCTCTTGGGGGAAGCAGGGCTTAATTTTCTTCTCTAACAAGCATATAGAAAGATTCACCCTATATCTCTGAAGTGGATTTTAGAAATCTTAGCATTCATTGCTTTACCAACTATTGACCTTCTAATGACGTTTAGAAAAGATTCAGATATGACTAAACAATGTGATTTTAGCATTACCTGTACCAGACAGAAACTAGACATTTTGGTTAACTGCATAGCATTTTAGAAATTAGTACACAATGAATAAAATTCTTGCAAGTTTAGTTTATTATTAGATTCATTAAGAGTTGGAACTATAACCAAACAAGGCTTTCACCTGAAAACGAAGAAAATTCTTGTATAATTCTTGCTGCTTAATCTGAAGCTCGCTGAGCGGCTCACCGAATGTGTTTCCCCGGGCAAAAGGAGAGCTTTGTGTTTGCAAAGGACCTTCAAAAGACAGTTTGCAAAAACAAACAGTTAGGAAAGGATCAATCTGCTAATAAGCCCACGTTATGAAAAGAAGTATTACATGCAGCAGTCCTGAGGTTCAGGTCAGAACGGAAGGTGAGGTAAGAGTGTGAGAGGACATAGAGGTCAGCAAGAGAAAGCAGTCAGTCAGACTAAAGTGTGTAAAGGGAATGTGCAAGCTAACAGCCTGAGCATGACCTCACAGCACAGGCTGGATAGTATTGTTCATGATGGAAAATGTACATGAATATCCTCTACTTAAGAATATTTCTGAGGGATTGAAAATACAGCTCAGTGGCAGGGCATTTGGTTAGGCCCTGGATTCAACCCCGAGAATTGAAGGGGTAAAAAGAGAGGAAAAGAAAAAGTTGTTAAATTTTAAGTTAGTCTAACTATAATAATAGGATTTACTCTTAAAACTGCTGAAATGAGTGCTTTACTGGCACGCACAAAGTCTTAGGTTCTAGCTGTAGCACACATAGAGTACTCTTTAAAGGGATATACATGTGGCAACAGTCTGCTGTAGTGTATGCTCCTTATAAACAGTATCATATAGTCTCAAAGGGAAAACATTGTTTCAGAAAAGCTATTTGAAAAACAATCATTCCCTAGAAATCTCTTTGAATGCATAAAGAAAAAAAAAAAACGATGACAATTTAAGTTTCCCACAAATTTTTATATGATTCTTAAATTATTGATGTATTGCTTTTGTTGTCTGATTAGTTAGTTGGTTTCATTTGTTGAAACAGGGTCTTGTTATGTTCTGTGTCCATGGCTGCTCTGAAATCACTATGTAGACCAGGATAGCCTTAAATCTGCAGCAAGCCTCCTTCCTCGGCCTCCTCAGAGCTGGACTGACAGACATGCGTCCTCAGGCCAGCTGCTCAGTCTTACTTCTATCAGGTGACAATATCTGTCCTCTGCTTGGTTCATCTCATGGAGGATGACACTTAGCACTTCAGCGCTGCTCTGCCTTTGTATCTAAAGTCACTAATGTTTAGCTGACTGAATTCAGGGAAAGTCACATCAAGACTTGAAAAGTATGAGAACTTTTTCCCCTAGAAACTTGTTCTACTAAATGTAAACTGAGCCTATGAAGGGTCTCTGAAAACTCGGGCACTGTAGAAAGCTCAGAGTGAACCACTGAGTGCTGTCTTTTACCTTAATTTCCCTCAAAATTTGAATTTTTATGACAACTAAAGGAAAGAAATATGGATGAAATATATCCCTGGGGGGGGGTGCTTTTCTCACAACTATAGGGAACTAGTACTATTAGAAAATAGACATCAAACTAGATACCATAATAATCACACAAAAACAACTGAAGCCAAACTAGTATTGGATTTCATAGCAGTTCACTTAGGAGCCATAAAGTAAAAGACAAAAAACCCTAACAGCATGAGCCAGGTCGGGTGGTACACACCTGTAGTCCCAGCCCACAGTGAGAACCTGTCTCAGCTTTTCACCAAAAGAAAACAAAACAAAAAAATCGTTCCCAGGGCCTAATGAGACCGAGAGAGAGTACACACCTTCAGTCCTAGCACTGGGAGGCAGAAGCTGGGAGGTCTCTGTCAGTTTAAGACTAGCCAGATGACATAGTGAGTTCCAGACCAACCAGGACTACATAGTGTAAGAAGATACTGTCTAAATATAATAAAAGGGGAAAAAGCCAAATGAAGACAAAACATCAAATCATGATGAAGCTTGAAAGCATAAGGAAAACTTTGAGATACATTCAAGTTTCCCAAAGCCTTTTTAACTATTAAACAGCACAGGTCCATGGACACATGCACACATATGCGTACACATTCATATACACACATAAATATGCATACTACAGAAAAACTATACAGGTCAAATTTTTCTGGGCACGTTCAATCAGGCTTATTCTCTTAGGAAAGAGGTCATGGTAATTGTTTATTTCCCAGTGTCTCTGTATCTCATAAGCAAATCCCCAAGAAAGAGGAAAGGCTTAATCCTCCTTGGAACCACAAACACTGCTGTGTGTGTAGAAACAGAAAGCCACAGCCCAGAGATCCCAGAAACCACAGACAAGAAGAGCAGCAATAAACAGCAGCAGTTACATGAAAAAGTATTTGTTGTTCCTTCTGTACACTGCACTGTTTCAGAGTAAGAAATTAATAATTGTATCAAAATCAAAGGTTCTAATTTTAGAGTTCCAAAAACTGAAGCTAGAAGCAAAGAGTCTACTGTGGATCCTAGTGGAAATGTTCTTCCAGCAGTCAGAACAATGGACAGGGCTGCCTACAGAAACAGCAAACCACTGTCTTCAAAGTGCCGGCCTGAAGGGACCGCTGAGGTCAGCACCTCAGCCCCACTGACCTGCGGGGTTGCCAGCAAGTCATATGAGCTATAAAACTAGACTGCATGATTAGTCAGGGATACGTCAAAGGAACTTTTCTATAATCAAAATTTTTTCCGATAATCACAACTTCCAGGAAAATGTAAAAGCAGATTTAAAACAATAAAACTGCAAATGAGCCAAACTAGAATTTTATAGTATAGTCTTTTATCAGCACCAATACATAGTGCAAAATGTATATTCTCTACATTTGCTTTGATGTTTGTTTGTTTGTTTGTTTGTTGGTTGGTTGGTTGGTTTTTCGAGACAGGGTATCTCTGTGTAGCCCTGACTGTCCTGGAACTCACTCTGTAGACCAGGCTGGCCTTGAACGCAGAAATCCGCCTGCCTCTGCCTCCCAAGTGCTGGGATTAAAGGCGTGCACCATCACTGCCCGGCTTGCTTTGAATTTTAAGGGTATAGAACACATTCACACATATATGGTAAGATACTGAGTAATTTCAGCTCATAGCAACTTTCAGGACACTGCTTCCTGTGTGTCAGCTTTCCTCATCCTCACAGATGTCACCTGACACTGAATGTCTAGTTACTTCTTTTCTGTACAATGTGGAGGACAAGTGACCACTTAAACAAAAAAATCAATTTCTTGTATAATTTATAATAACAAGCCAAATACTTTCTCACTGATGCAATCAGTGCTGTGTATATGTGCAAAGAAAGGCCCCTCATGTATCAAAAGAACGTTAACAGTGACTGCACACACAGAGCACACTACGGAGTAGGAAGAAACATGCCATGTTAGAAGCAACCTTTCCCTAGTCTCTTTAGAAAGAAAATATATTATGCTTTCTAATGTAACCAAAGTCTCAGTAAGAATTTTATCAAAGAACAGAAATGAAATGTTACTAAACAGCATTAGAAATTATTTTTTTAAATATAAATGTGATTAAAAACCTGAGTTTTTATTTGCAGAATCTTCTAGGTTCTCAGCATTTGAAGTGGCTAAATTTTGGTCTATAGATACAACATCCCTTTTATCTTCATATGCTCTTGCATCTGGATTATGGTAGGCATCTATATTCTGTCTGTGCATCCTATTCAAATCAGCTGAGAGGAAAAATAATCCATTTATTTCAATAAACACATTTCTGTAATTACTCTTAAACAATACGTTTTTAAATAAGAAATCAGCAGGAAAAACAAGAAAAGGCTGGCAATGGCTGGATGATAGTTGTAGCTCTGAAGCAACCTCACTAAAAACTATAAAGAAACTATGAAATTAACTCAAAACTAGGACAGAAGTTAAGGACGCATAAATGGTTGACATTTGATCAAAAGCAATATTAACATAATCACTTTCAATTCAGAAATCACAATCTCTTTAGTATAGAACAAACTTAGTGAAACTCAAGTCAGTAAAATTTGTTCCACACCACCAGCTCTCCTAAAAGCAACTAACAAAAAAGCATGTTTATATGGAGTGTTAAAATGTATCCAGAAATTCTTTATTTATCAACCTTTCCTTAAACCGTGGAACTCAAGTCTCTCCTTACTATGGTCTCCTTGTCAGCTCATGTCAGCATGGGACACTGCAGGAGACTTCTGGGGCTGACTCACAAAAGACGTGAGCTACATTTTCTCTGATCACTGGACTCACTGAAGGGAAAGCCTATCACAATAGCACTGAAGGGGATGCTACAGAGAGATCTGAAGGTAAGAAATTGAAGCCTCCTGAGCTGTACATGGAAGCCATGGGGGTTGGGGGGAGGAACAATCTCGAGCTAAAGGATCATACATAAACAACCAGGAAAAACCACTCAAAAATCACTAAAGAACCACAAAGTGATATGCGTTCTTATTTTAAAACACTACCTTTGGGATGGCTTATTACTTAGCAATATTGACTTGCTGTTTCTATTAAATATCTAATACCTAGCTCAGTTGGCTGAGTGTCTAGAATGTGTAAACTGGGTCAAACCACTAGTCTCAAAAACAGACCTGTACAGAATTCAAGTTTTAAAAGTGAATAAACAGGGGCTGGAGAGATGGCTCAGAGGTTAAGACCACTCACTGGCTGCTCTTCCAAAAGACTCAAGTTCAGTTCCCAGCATCCACATGGCAACTCACAACTGTCAGTAACTCCAGTTCCAAAGGATCTGGTACCATTGCACAAACACTCATGCAGGCAAAACACATCAGTGTTCATAAAAATAAGTATTTGTTAAAGTGCACACGTGCGCGCACACACACACACACACACACACACACATATCCCTCTCTACCTAACTCCTCCCAAAACACTGGGTTAATAACAATAAAAGTAAACTTAATTATTTATCAGGAAGAATATTACACTCAAGGATGTATTCTGAATGTGTTGCAAGTTTAAGATACCATATAGAATAGTCCAAGTAGCATGTGAATATACACAGGAAAACGAAGCTCGGTACATGACAGTTTACATCACCATATTACATTTAGGACATCTTGAACTTAGCAAATGAATAAGACCTTCAAAGACAAATATGAGCAGGACAGAACAGTAAACAGAAAAAGGAGCCAACGAGATATATCTATCGGTTAAAAAGGTGAGTGTCACGAAAGCCTGACAACCTGAGTGTAAGTGCTGGAGCACACCCTTAGAAACACAGATGTAGATGTGTTGGTGGCTCCCGTCTCTAATCCTAGCTCTCCTACAGCAAAGTACAGGGAAATTGCCAGGAAGCCCGGAAGACTGTGGAAGCCAGCTATCCTGGTACCTGCACAGCTACACAGTGAGAGCCACCTCAGAAAGGTAGACAAGAGTGATTCTCTGACTTCTGCATGTGCATCATGACATGTGCATGCTCACATACTCTCTCTTATACACACAAATACTGAAAAAGAAAAAAAGAGAAAAGCCAGCCATTGTGGTGCATTCCTTTTATCCCAGTACTTGGGAGGCAGAGGCAGGTAGACCTCTGTGAGTTTGAGGCCAGCCTGGTCTACATAAGTGAGTCCAGGATAGCCAGGATCATTACACAGAGAAACCCTGTCTCAAAAGACAGACAAATGGATGGACAGATGGAGGGAGGGGGGGGAAGGAGGGAGGGAGAAACAGAAGGAGGGATGGAGGGAAGGAGGGAGAGAAGAAGGGAAAGAGAGGGAGAGAAAAAGGAGGGAGGAAGGGAAAGAGAGGGAGAGGAAGGGAGGGAGGAAGGAGATGGGGAGATGGCTGAGAAGTTAAAAACTTGTACCAGTTTATGAGAATACCAGAGTTTGGATCCCGGTACCCAAATTGGCAGCTCACAAGCACCTCTTCTGACCTCCATGGGAATGGATGAAGAGACACACACACACACACACACACACACACACACCCCTTTTTTGAAAAGCAAAAAGTAGTAATGGGGACAGCAAGTAAAGCCTCATTTTAATACCTAGGACCCAGAGAGTAAAGAGAGATCAACTGCCACAAATTGTCCTCTGATCTGTGCCCACATGCACACCCCTCTGCATCAGGTAGGTGAGGAGGCTGAGGAGGGGAATTAAATATAATCCAAGTATATAATGTACATAATGCACTTGTTAGTAAATGTCACAACCAAACTCATTCGTTATACAAATATGCAAATGAAAAGGAAAGGGGCTGGCAGATGGCTCAGGGACTAAGGCACCTGCCAAGCAAGCAGCCACTGGGAGGCCTTGAACTCACACCTTAGACCACACAAAAGTGCTGGCTGGCAATGGAGACCTGGCTGTAGTTTCAGCTCTCACAAGTTGTAGAAACAAAAGGCTACTGGAGAAAGCTGGCTATCTATTCTAGCCATACTGGTGAGCTCTGGGTTCAACTGCGGGACCTTGCCTCAGTGACAATGTGGACAGTAATTATGGAAAACCTCCAATAACAACTTCTCCTTGACACATAGGTGCATACTGAACACACACACACATGCACCCACAATACATATATGAAAAGGGGTAATTTTTAAAATACCATCTTAATAGCATCAAAACATGAAAAACTTACTTATACAATTGACAAAATATGTACAAAATATGATTTACAAAAGTATAAAATACTGATAAGAGAAATTAACTAAAAGCACTAGTGGATAGGCAGTATGCACTAGTGCATCGGAAAATTGAACACTGTTAAGATGTTGCCCACACCAAAGTTACCTGGGAGGTCAGTACAACTCTAAAGAGATTGCACCATTTTCTGGATAAAACTGACTAATAGTAAAATAAGAAGCTGGATTGCCAAAGCAATCTTCAAAAAGAAAACACACAAAGTTGGAAGGTCAAGGAGGGGTTATGACATATACTCATAATTCCAGCACTTGGGAGGATGGCACAGTAGACTACAACTCAAGATCATCCAGAACTAAAAAAGGAAAGTCAGATCTCAAAAAACTAAAGAAAAAAAAAAATGCTCCAGCATCTAAATTTCAACACTTACTACAGAATTAGTAAAGTATATGATGTAACCATGAAGTCAGACATGTAATGCTAACTGGTATTTAACTGGTATTTCACTGTGGTGCCAATGCAATTCAATGTGGAAAGTGTTCTAAAACAGACTGCTTTTTGGTATAATTCTGAATAATAAAATCCATTATGTCATGCACTTTGGACGGCTGAGTGGTACAGAACATGCATAAAAGCTTACACACACATACATAGATTTAAATAGGCAACTACAAAGACAACTGTAAGACGGCAGGTTAAACACATGGTGGGCCTATAAGAAGGCCACCAGGGAAAGGCAGGTGCTACACAAGCCTTCCCTGAGTCAGATCCCCTATCAGATACTATGATGGAAGGAGAGGACTGACTCCCAAAGTTGTCCACTGACCTCTCAAAGTTGTCTGACCTCTGGCATGACACATTTATATGTCAAGCACAAATATACAACAATAATAAATCAATAAATCCAATATACAAAACAGGCAACTAAAAGTATTATAGCATTTGAAATAGGAAGAAGACAGTAGGGGGAAAAGGCAAAATCTAGATGCTATCAGTATTATAGCACAGTATTGATGTTATTTCTAGCTTTTATACTTGGGCCATGATTGCATAAATATCAACCATGAAGGAAACATACTGAAAGTTACTCTCCCGGTATCTTTTGTGCATTAAAGTTATTTCATAATAGAGACTTTAGAAAAGCTGAGATAGCCATATATTCCATACGATAGCAGCTAACCCTTGCTCTACAGAGTCAAGTGCTGATGAGCATGCAGAGCGATTAGAAAGTCTGTGCTTTTCTAGTGAGAATGAAAGAAGGCAGAGCGTGGAAAACAAACTAACAAAGTCAAAAACACCAACAAACAAGAAAACAAAACACTATATAATCAACTGACCCTATTCCTACACATTTACCCAAGAGACATAAAAGCACACATTCATACAGAGGCCCCACATGGACACCTTGATCAGCGGTTCTCAACCTTCCTAACGCTGCAACCCTCTGACATATTTTCTCATGTTGTGGTGACCCTAACCATACAATTATTTTCAGTGCTACTTCATAACTGTAACTTTGCTACAGTTGTGAACTGTAATGTAAATATCTGTGTTTTCTGATGGTCTTAGACGCCCCAAAGGTTGAAAACCATAGGTTTACAGCAATTGTATTCTTAATGACATTAAACTGGAAATGACTCAAGTGTCTATCAACTGTAAACAGATACACAATGGTGGTACCTCAAGACAGTGTAATGCCACTCAGTAATAGAAAGAAAAGAATCTCACAAGTATTATGCTGAAACCATATTACAAAATTAAAAGGCAACACTGGCACCCAGGAGGCAGATCAAAGGCTTACAGGGGCAAGAGCTGCGAGAGGATGGTCCACAAGGGGACAGAGGAGACACTCCTGTGAGCAGTTCTGGAGTATGTTATAGAAATGATTTAGAATGATTTTAGCAATAGCTGTCACTAAATTTTAAAAGACTAACTTATTAAATGCAAATTTTACCTCAACAGACATACATAAAAACAAATATAAATCTAACTAAGATAAGGACAGTGCATTAAATATGACACTTGCTCAAATGCATATGAAAGGCTGTTTAGCCATACTTCTCCAGGCCTATGAGAGATTGCCAGTCATTTTCAAGTTGTCAAACTTTTAATTTTATGGGTTTTACTTACCCACATATCTCTTTTGGTGTATAGTAGCAATTCTCAACCTGTGGGTCTTGACCACTTTGGGAGTCATATCAGATATCCTGTCTCCCAGGATATTTATATCGTAATATTTATATTATGATTTATAACAGTAGCAAAATTATAATTATGAAGTAGCAATGAAATAATTTTATGGTTTGGTGTCACCACACCATGAGGAACTGTATTAAAGGGTCACAGTGTTATGAAGGTTGAGGACCACTGCTGTATAGCTGTTAAAATTTTAACACATATAGTCTCAAGTAACACCACTATAATCACTTAAATTCTGCAAAGCTCCACCACCAAAACAGATCCATTTCTCATCTTCCCAGACTAAATCCCTGGCCGGGGTCTTCATTCTTTGTTATTTTGAGATGTGATGTAATGGAATTGAGCAAAAGTAACAACTGTCAGAATGGATCTTTTACTTACCAGAACTTTTGACTTTTCCAAATTATGAGCATCAACAATTCATTCCTTTGTACTGCTAAGTAGTGCCCCCCTACACACACACACATACAGAATGAATAAGCTTACCTATTTACCTACACAAACATTTTATAATATCTTGGCTTTTATAACTTTAAATACAGAGTTCTAATGAATAAAGAACACTGAACTTTTTAATGGTACAATTAAAACAGGTGTTTACTTTAAAACATTTTGTTCTGCCTTACTTCATTAATAAGCATTCTCCCCAATGAGAAGTGAAGACTCGCATTTTTTAGTTTTTCTCCATCAAGAACAAAAGTAAACAGAGAAGGGAATCCTGATGCCCTCGAGCAAACAGCAGGATTACAGTTGGCTATAAGCACACAGGGTGGACCATGGTCATCATAGTGTACTTCCCTAAAACATCTCAATGGAGTAAAGCCAGTCATGTTTCCCCATATCTAAGATATAAAGCCCACATACAAAACTTGATACTTTTTAGGTACTGACTGGTTACTTTGAAAATGGTATTTAAAGCTGTTCCACTGTCCTTGATAAAATACTACACTTTCTCTGTCTCATGTGATGACCATGGCATGAAGTAAACAAAGTGAACATTACTACTAAAAAACAGAACTCTCAGAGGCAGTGTCTTCATTTCCTCCCAGACACGAAATTCTAAAGCATTATCTTCCAAATCAAGAATGCACACTTTGCTACAAACTTATCCCAGAATGATATTGCTTAAGACCTCCTGAAAATTTCTGGGAACTGTTCTACCCAATGTAAGTTTTGTTACTTTCAGTTACTACTTTCAGAACTAGTCTGGATGAGCAGCAGCTAACATGAGCTATCCTCTGCAGTCTGAGGACTGTCATCAGAGGACGGGAAGTGTACTACTGTGCAGATGAAAGGTTTTCTAACATGTATTATATTCATAATCAGGCCACCATCTTCTCATGACATCATAAAACAAACCCTTCTTATACAGTCTGACTCCCACCTCTTCCTACTCTCCACTCTTAAAAACTGTTGGTAATAATTCATTTAAAAGCAAGTTTATGGACACATCATACTTATCAGATTTCCTTTGGCATCTCTGAGAGGAGCACCACCTCCGCCCTTCCCCCAAGGGTTGTAAATCTTCATTTCAGCTTCTAATTTAGCTTCATATTCTTCTTTTTCTAAACGTTCTTTCTTCCTTCTTGCTTCTCTTTCCCGAATCTTGACAACATAAGATATGCCTCAAGTAAATATTGACTTACAGGAGACTGAGATAAGACACTAGCAATACTACTACTTAATTTTTCTAGTAAGAAAAATATACATATATTTTTAAGTGCATTTCTTCACTATAAAGTTAAGAGTCACAAATAAGGATGCTGATCTGTAAATGCAGGAGCCTGACCTGTAACTTCAAGGAGAACACCACACCCACATCCAAGGAGACTGACCAGAACCCCTAGTAGAGAAGACTCCCAGTCTGAAGACCAACCTGCCTGTCAGCCTCCTCTCTATCAGTCAGACACTCTCCCATGTAGCCAAGTACTTTGGCCATCCTGGACCAAGATCCCAAGCCTACCACTCAACCCAGTCCACAGCAGCTCAGCAACAAAGACCCCACAGAGCACTGCTCACACCCACTATGACTACAGCCCTGCCACCTAAGAACAACCTGTAGAATCCAGAGAGCTCTCCATATGCAACAAGAATCTCCTAAGCCTACAGGAAGTTTGCTCCAAAGCCCAGAAGCTGCACCTATCCCTTCCTAGAGCAAGAATACTTCTGACATCGCCATTCCCACACAAACCATGTGGCCCAGACTGAAAACAAAGCACCATTCAGCTGGCCCATAATCTAACATGCTAGGGCAACAGCAAAGTTCCAAACACACCCAATAACAGTAAGAATAGATATCCATACCATATACACCATCAACCTTCTAACTCCAGATGCCTGGATCCCATCAGAAAAACACAAACATGAACAACCTAGACAGCATATCTCCTCCAGAAAGTAGCCCTCCATCACAGTCCCTGAAAAAAGCAACTTGGCTGATGAACAAGGCAGTGATTTCAAATCAGCAGTTCTAAGTTGTGTTTGAGGAGCTCCAGGAGGTTACTGAGCAAATGCCAAGATGAAAATTACAGAGCACAAGTAAGCTCTGAATCAAATAGTAAAGTAATGTGAAAATACAATTTAATATAGAGATAGAATCTAAAGAAAAGAAAAACTCATCATGTCCAACAAAGAGACCAGAGCAAAGCCTCACCTACAGACTGATCAAGGGGAAGACTATCAGGTCTCAAACACAAGGTAGAAGAAATAAATACTTCATCTAAAAAATAAACAAAACAACAAAAACAGACCACAAAAAACAGAAACAGAACATACTGAACACTAAAAAGACCAAACATACAAACCATAGGTATAGGAGAATAAACCCTATTCCATACAATCATAGAAGAAAATTTTGCAAATCAAGGGATGAGAGGCATAAAGATTCCTCATGAACAAAGAAAGAAAGAATATTGGAAACTGCAATAGTCCAAGTTGTAAATATTGGCAGGCCTAACAGAATAACATCTGAAACTTCAATGGAAAGTTTGAAATTAAGAAGGCCATGGATAGAAAGTTCTGAAAGACTACAGATGCCAACCCAGACTACTATACTCAGCAAAACTGTCAGTCATTACAGAAGCAAAAAAAAATTTCATGATTTAGAGAATTTATACCCATAACATCAGCTCTACAGAGGATACTAGAAGGAATAGTTCAGTCTGAAGAGATAATTATACACACCCAAGAGAGTTCAGGGAATAAATAATCCCAGTACACCTGAACATAAGAAGCCTAAGAAAACAACACAACAACAAAACAGGTCTTAACAAACATTCATCAAAAATAACCCCCTCAAAAGCTCCCAATAATAAATGTCTCAATTTCCCAACAAAAAGACACAGACTAACAGACTAGATTAGAAAACTGGATTGATTGGTTTGCTTGTTATAAGAAGACTATACCTCACCATCAACCATGGCCACCATTTCTGATAAAGTACAGAAAAATGTATTATTCCAAATAAATGGACAAGAACAAGCAGGTTTAGCTAGTCTAATATCTCACAAAATAATAAATTCCAAACCAAAGAGAGGAGAGAGAGAGAGAGAGAGGGAGAGAGAGAGAGGGAGAGAGAGAGGGGGGGGGGACACACACACAAGCACAGGACATTTCACAATCAATAAAGGAAAAATCCACCAAGAGAATATTACAATTCTAAACACTAAGGTCAAGGGCATCCAAGTTCATAGAAGAAACAGTGCTAGATCTAAAATCACAGATTGAACATGACATACTGATAGTGGGTAACTTCAATATTCCACTCTCTAGACAAAATCAAAATAGAGAAGCTCTGGAGTTAAGACACCATAAATTAAGTGGGTCTAACAGACACTTAGTGTAGAACATTCCACCCAAACACAAAAATGTATTTTCAGCAGCCATGGAACTTTCTCCAAAACTGACCACATATTAGGACACAAACTATGTCTCAACAAATTTAGATAAACTGAAATAACATACAGCATTTTATCTGACCATAAAAGAATAAAGCTGAATATCAGCAACAGAAATGGAAAAGTTACACTTGCATGTAAGTGAAATAATATCCTGCTAAATAAAAATTAGATCAAAGGCAAACTTAAGAAGGAAATTTTTTAAATTTCTAGAATTAATGAAAGTAAAATCCCAGCATACCAAAATCTATAGACAGAATGAAGGCAGTCCTACAAGCTAAGTGACTTACTGATGCACTTGGAGACCTTGGAAAATAATAACAAACAACACCCAAAAGAATAGACAAGAAGACAGAATCTAAGTCAGGCACAAACTTATCAGAAAAAACAACAACAAAAAAGAATCAACGGAATGAAAAGTTGGTTTTTTGTTTTATGGGATTTTTTTGTTTTTGTTTTTGTTTTTTTAAAAATTAACAAGCTCCTCAAACCTTTAGGCCAAACTGAAAGAGGGAAGAGAGGGGAAAGAAGGTTAAGCAGAAAGGAGGGAAGGAGGTCTGAATTTTCAAAATCAGAGATGAATGCAGAAACACTACAAAAGTTGCTAAGGAAATTCAGAGAATCTTAAGTACACAATGTAAAAATATGCATCCCAGCACTCAGTAGGCAGAGGCAGATGGATCTCTAGTGAGCATGGTCAGATGACCAGTCTGGTCTATGAAGTGAGTTCCAGGCTAGTTACAGACAGACAATAAGACCGTATCAAAAAAAAAAAAAAGAAAAGAAAAGAAAACAAAATCAGTATTCCACTAAAATAAAAATTCTTAAAGAAATAAATGAAAAAACATGAAGTAAATTATTAAAACAGGCCTATAGCTACCAACAAAATAGAAGAAATACTAATCTCCTAACTAAAAATGGCCCATAGCCAACAGAATTAGCACAAGATCCTACCAGATTTTCAAAGAACTTACACCATACTGCCCAAATTGTTCCATAAAATGGAAAGGGAAGGAGTATTTCCAAATTTGTTTCACAAAGTCAGTACTATCCTGATACTGAAACCAAAGATGCAACATAAAAAAGAAAACCCACAGATGCTGCGTGGTTTGAAGAATGGCTCCCGTAGGTTCATATATTTGAATTCTCAGTCACCAGAGAGTGAAATTATTTGAGGACTAGGAGGTGAGAAACCTGCAGATCAGGACACAGCAGTCTGTAGCTCTCTCGGCTGCTGTTCCAGCACTGTGAGTGCTGCCATGCTCCCACCACACTCTCTGAAATTGTAAGCAATCCCCCAATCAATGTAATGAGAGTTACATTGGTAATGGGGTCTCTTTATTGCAATAAAACAGTGACTAAGACAGACACAAAACCAAAAAACAAAAAACAAACAAACAAACAAAACTACCTCAATAAAATACTTGAACACCAAATTCAAGAACACACCCAAAAAATTATTCTGGGTCCTCTGCAAAAGTAACAAGTGTTCTTACCCATGAGCCACCTTTCCAGCCCATCCATGGCAATTTTGTTCACTCATTATGTATATAAAATAAAAATTCTATGGCCATATATATGATTCAGCAGTCGAGTGCTGGGCCAGCACTACAGGGGGAAAAAAATTAACTTCTTGAATTGGGAAATCTAACTCTATAGAAACATTTAAATAGTCTCACTCAAAACCAGATTTTGATTTCCAAAATTCAGTCTTTCTTCTGTAGAAACTTCACATTCATAAAAAAAATGGTAGTAATTCTTACTAGACGTTTTCCCATGTAAAAGTGAAAAAAATCTATTTCCCAAGGAGCTGGGGCAGTTAGGAGTAAGTACTCACCCCGCAAAGACTTAAGTGTGACTCCCACAGACAGTAGCTCACAACAGCCTGTAACTCTAGCTCCAAGGGGGTCTGACTCCACACAGTCATAGCACTCATGTGCAAAGACACACACAGCTAAAAATACAGATATTTACAAAAAAAAAATTGCAAGGGGCTAGAAATGTGGCAATCTTGCCTAAAAAGTCCTTAGATCAATCCACTGCGCCACATAAAACAGAGCACCCTGGTGTGCACCTGTATTCCCAGCCTTCAGGAGAGAGAAGCAAGCAAACAGGATGACTAGAATTTCAAGGTAATACTTCCTTCACCACATAGTAAGCTCAAGGGCAGCCTGATCCAGATGGAACCCTACCTCAAGAAACCAAAACAACAAAATCCATAGTTCACAAAGAAATCTAAACAGAATTCCCCAGGAAAGTCCTCAATTTAGATATGGACCCACACCTTGAATCTCTCCTGAAAAAACTATTACAAACTCCTAAGGAAGTTTTCTTTAACCAACATAAAAGTATGAGAGGTGCCAATGTGTTTCTCGTAAGTACTGTACTAAAGTGTCCCCTACTGGATTGTGGCCTCATCAGTGTCCTTATATTTGGACACTACAAATCATGTTTAAACCTTCTGTTCTTTCTCATCCTCTCATTTGTACCCTGTGCATTATGACTAGCACTGTCTGCCAACATCCTTCCTTTCTCCTCAGATAGTTCAGAGCCTCAGCAACTCTTAGCTGAATTGAACTGATCAATAGCTTACTAAATGCTTCTCTAGGGCCAGCACGATGGATCAGAAAGACAAAGAACCTGCAACCAACCCCGTCTACCTGAATACGATCCCCCCAAAAAATATGGTGGAAGGAAACACACATGCACACAGACACACACCAAATAAATAAGCAAGTTCATAGAAAACCCAGGAAAATAAAAAAAATAAAAAATAAAAATCCTTAAATATACCAAGAATGTCTAGAAACTAACGTGCAGCTCAAATATTAACTATATACCTAGCCCTAACTGTCCCAGGCAAGCCTGCTGTTTCCTACAATAATTCCAGCACACCCAGTTCAAAGCTTACCATGCTGCCTCCACTGTTCTCCACTTTAGTCTACAGTTGTGCTGTAAGTCAGTCAGTATCAAATGAATGAATGAATACCTGCTCCTGCAAAGCTTCTTGGTAAGACTGAAGTGACTGTGTAGAAGGTTTTGGCTTATCCTCAAAGACCAGTCCTGAATTCCTGAGTCCATCACTAAGAACTTTCTGTTCATTCTGTCCAACAGTATTCCTAATAGCAAATAAACAATTTGAATCAATTTATTATAAGAACAAGCAAATTCTAGAAGAAAACAAAACAATTCTTTGCCTGGCATATAAAATCATCTTTGAAAACAAAGCCAGCAAGATGGGTCAACAGATATGGCAAACACTGTGCCGTGCCCAAGACTACACAGAACATCTGAGAAGCAGTCCCTGCAAGCGGTTTTCTGTCCTCCACATGCACGCTGTGGCATGCATCCTGGGGCATGTTTGAGCACATGCACAAACATGCACAAAGAAAATAAATACAAGATTTAAAAAAGTAACTATAGGCCAAAATAAACCCTCTCTCCCTTAAGATGCTTTCGCCAGGGTATCTCAGCAATAAGAAAAGTAAGTAAGACAGTACATAAGCATGAGGCCCTGAGTCCGATCGCCAGCACACACACAGAAAGCTAGGCATGTTGGAGTACAACTGGAATACCAGCTGGGAGAGGCCGAGACAGAAAACCTCCTGGGGCTCACTGACCTGCAAGCTTAACCAAACAGGTGAGTGCCAGGGCTCAGTGAGAAATCTTGTCTCAGAAACAAGGCAGGCAGATCCCGAAGAGCAATACCTGAGGTTGACCTCTGCCTTCCATACATGCATGAATGTAATGACATATCACTTCACACTAAAGGCAGCTGGTCAGAAAATAGGAACTTCTGTGGAATATGCAGAGAAACTAGAATCTTTGTGCACTGATAGTGGGAAGCCAAATAGTATACTACTGTGACAGTAATATGGCACTTCTTCCAAAACAGTTCTAAAACAATTACCATGTGACCCAAAAATTGTATTTCTGAGTGTGTGTGTGTGTGTGTGTGTGTGTGTATAATTAGAAAAATACAATGATTCTAGTAGCAGCATGTTTACAACTAAGATGATAAAGGAACTCCAGTGTCTGCCAGTGGCTAACTAAAAAGAAAAAAACTAACCGTGTAGGCACACAATGCACTATTATTCAGCCTTGAAAAATACTAACATAAGTTACAAGGACCATCAGCAGCTAAGGACCCTGTGAAATGAGCCAGTCACAGTGAAACACTGTCTGAGCCTCAGGAAGTACCGGAAGTCAGATCCACAGATAGACAACAGAACAGGGGCTGCCAGGTCATATCACAAGAGAAAATGTAGTTGCCCATTACTGAATTCACAGGATAGAGCTCTGTTTAAAGAATGAAAAGCATTCTGGAGATGGTTATGTAATGTTACAGATGCACTAAATACTACACCAAGTGCTCTTTAAAGCAGTTAGGCTACAAGACCTTATACTGTGCATATCGCAGCACTGGTATTTTAACTAAAGACTTACATAGCTGGCGGTGCTACCTGGTGAGTGACAGGGGCAGAGATATGAGGGGCAGGCTGTCCTCCAATCATTCCTGAACCATCTAAAGGGAAACAGAAAAAAAGATATTTGTTTCAGAATATTTACTTACCATTAGTAACATTTAATCCCTAAAGAAAAATATACTTAAAGCTTTTCCCACGCATCAATACATCGCCCTGTGCTAAAGGTTAGAAAAGAACATAGAGAACATAAAACAATTACCGCTTCGCTCTGAGTCAAAAGGAAATAACTACGAGACACAATTAGCTTTATTTTGGTTTTAAAACTGGGTCTTGTTTTATGACCCAAGGGGATTAAGAAGTTCCCCAATAGCCCAAGAGGGCCTTGAACTCATCATCCTGCCTGCATCCATAACTGCATTTTAAAATGAGTATTGCTACAGTTTGGCCTCCAAAATGTATGCAGGAATTTAATTCATAAAATCTTATGCTAACAAATTTAACAGAGTAGAAATTGAAGCCTCATGAGTGAATCATGAACTTACAGGGGGAGTGAAAAAAACCGATAGTGCGTTCACACCTGCCCTGCATATGTTATTTGGGCAGATTAGGTCTCTAAAATAATCTCTTCAGTTCATAAAATATCTCTTTCGAGTATCATATCAAACTAATAAAACTGGACTTGATACTAGGGATGAATTTACTGTCAATAAATACAAAATACTTGGATTAAATGGAGCTGTACCTTTTTTTCATTTATATTACTGTTGCTTCTATAAAAACAATTATCTTTAATAAACCACCAGAAAAATGTTTATAGAACATATAGGAAACTCACAGTATGCAATAGTAGGATCTAGTGTATTTCTGGCACCGTAAAAATAGTATGCATCATCGTACGGGGTTCGATAGTTAGGAGCTAGAGGGGCAAGCAGCGGGGCTGGAGGTGGGTTCAGAGGCACAGGCACAATCCTGTACCAAAAGAAAAACAAAAACATTATCCTCATACTTTATTACTTTTAATCAAGATAGTTTAATCTTCTGCAAAAAAAGGTATTATTAAAACTGAAAATCAGCCTTGTACTAATTGTTCAAGAAAAATTAGGAATCAAAAAGCAAATAGCAAAAAATTTTACAACTTCAGGAACATTTTGGTAAGATGCAAACAATTTAAAGCAATTGAGTAATATCCAATAGCCATTATGTGCCATATCAAACAAAGGTATGCTCTTCCCTCTCAGTAAATACAGAATGGACAATTACAACAGTGCAGCATCCAGAGGGCAAATGACAAAGAATGCCAGAGGAATACAGAGCAGGGATACTCAGTCTGTAAAGTGACAGGAGAGAAGCTTGAAGATTCCCAAAACTGGAAATGTCATGTGATAAGAGTCAGAGATAGAGAGGACCAAGAGCCCTACCACTTCAGATTACAAATGGTTCTGTGTGGTCAAGACATTGCATAGAGTGAGTATGTTTATGCATGTCAGTATCTGCGCACACATCCAATGGTGCACATGTGTCCATTATGTGTATAGAAACTTGCGCGTGTAGGAGAGGATGTGCACATGAGTATGTACAAATGTACAAGCTAGCAGTTATCCTTGCATGTCAGTTCTGGGGAGCTGTCCACTTTGTTTTTGAGATGGAGTTGCTCACTGGCTGAGAAATCACTAATTACATCGGCTGGCCAGCAAGCCCCAAGGATCCAGTCTCTGCCTCGCAGTACTGAGACTGCAAATGTATCCCACAACACCCAGCGTTTTTACTGACTGAACCATCTCCCCAACCCAAGGGGTTTATTTTTTATATGTAAAACTTACTGCTTTTTCACAGAAAGTTAAACCACAATGTGGTTACTTGAAAATCCATACAGCTCTGATATAAAATTTAATACTTCATAAATTTAAAATGTGTAAAAATTTGTACTTCCACATTTCCTCACTGAGGAGTAATCTATGTTTCTACCAGCACAGAATTATTCAATAATAGAAATGGCAAAGGCAAATAACTTTAGATAAACAAAGAAAAAGGGGACATTCTAGATTTTTTTACTCAAATATTAACATATTCCGTCTGCCTTAAAGAATCTGCAGGCTAAGGTAGCACCAAAGTCTCTTCAGTAGTCAGCAGCTCCACACGTCAGTCAGTGAGTCTAACCTCACCATCGGCAGTGCAGATGCGCCAGCAAAAACAACCTGAGTAAGGGTTATGAAAAGAATCTACTAATATCAGCAACTCCTAAATTGTATCTGTACATAGAAAACTCAATGTTCAGCCCTCTAACTATGTCAAGTCCTACCATCACCTTTTACAAATGAGAAAACTTTTTTGCATAAAGTCCAATGAAGCTGACTATTCCAGCCTCTAACCCACAACAGAAAGCACTGTGGCTCTCTAATTCCAGTCACTCAGCCTTTGGAGTAGGGAGGCCATTAAAGGAAATAAAGGAAGGGCCTGAGAAACACTGTAAGAAAAGCCCTACAGATTGTTAGTAACAAATAAAAGACCAAGTCCTGCTGAAAGGAAAGACATCTCAGAAATGTGTTAAAAGTTTTATAAAAACATCTACAAATATAAAGATATTCCTATAATTAGTATTTAAGTATAGGCCAGAAAATATTCATGTTACAGGGTTTTCTTTATGTATAGATTAGTATGACGTGTTTTCCCTATAGAAATGACATGTTCAATATGAATTCCAGAGTTACAATCCCAAAGGCCCTAGAGTAAGCCCAGAGAGAACTGTTAAAGCAGACAGATATGTACCAGGTTAGAAAATTTTTCTGAATAAACTGAAGAAACAATTCAATGATTGCCAAGTGGAAATAACTGAATAACGCATAACTTTTAAAAGATTTTAAAAATATAACCTAAAAAATACTAATATGTAGTTACTAATTTATTTTAAAAATAGTAAACCTATAAAATGATATAAACATCAAAGATTTCTCCTTTTTCTAATATCAGAGAAAGAGTATCAATAACAATGAAGGAGAAAAACACTACTCAGCAAAGTTACTAATGCTATGGCATCTTTGAAGCATCATCTGCGGCAGCACACCCTTGTACATGTAAAGCACAACGAGGCTTCCCTAATTCCCAAATACAAACATTTAAACAAGCACCTGGGATGCACCAGTTCACCAAGGGTGCTGCCGACTCCACTGTGCAAGTCTTCATTGTGAGAAGGGGCGGAATGAACTGGTGGGACGGGTGGGATAGACGGGGCAGAGAAGGGAGGGGGAGGTGTCTGGAAAGCTACTCTGGGTCTCTCAGGTGGTATCATCTCTTCAAAGTGTCTTGGTGTCAAACTAAACTGCTTTAGTCTATCAGGCTAAAATAAAGAAAAAGACAAAAAAAAAAAAAAAAACCTGTTTGTTACATAGAACCATAAGTTTAACAGTGACAAGGACCTCCAAGGACCCTCTACCCCAGCAGGCACTTAAGACAGTCACAGAACAGCAGAATTTTACAGCTAAAAAAAGACTTTAATGATCCAATTCTTATTTTATAAGCAGGTAATTGAGGCTCCCTAAGAAGCACATAAATCACCTAAAGGCTCATGGTTAGTAATGAATAAACAGCAACTACAGCCAGGCGTGAACTTCCTGTGCAGGTCTCTGGTAGACAGCAGCAGCACCACAGCTCTCCTCAGCTGCTGCTTGGGAGATCGACCTGAGGAAGGTTTTGCAAGCCTCAGTCTCCCTACAACCACCAGGCTCCGCCATGGTGCCAAAGCAGCACAGGCCACATGTGAACAGTGAAGGACACTGTGCCACAATAAGAGCAGAGTCACAACAGGGTAGGCCAGGGGCTGCTTACTAATCTTTACTGAAGAATATCATTTTATGCCATTTTTAAATATTAAGTAATATTTAACTGTTGCCTCTAATAGTTTTATTCAACTTGACACTCTTTAGGTGATTCAATTCCAGAATAAATAGCTCTATCACAGACTATAAAATTTAATAATTTATAAATTTAATAAATTTATTAACCTAGTTTTAAATTTTATAATTATTAGTTATTATAACATATAATTATATTTAATTATATGAATAATATTTATATATTTATATGGATATTTGTATATTTATAATTTATAAAAATAATATGGTTGTATAAATTTGTGATTATTGATTTTAATATAATTACTAAAATTATAATTCATAATTTAATAAATTTATTAAATAATCTTTAACTGTTCCCTCTAATACATATTTATTCAACTTGGCACTCTTTAGGTGATTCAATCCAGAATAAATAAGATCTATAATATACTATAAAATTTAACATGCCAATATATTATACTAAAAGGCTCAAGTTTCCAAAAGCTAATTTTTTACTGCAATGGCTACTTTAAAGGTATTTAATGAGAAACAAAAAAGAATTACCTTTGGACCCTATTTTTTTTCTGCAAGGCAATATTTTCAGGAAGGTTTTTTTTTCTCCATTACTGGGAATCAGGGATTAAATTTAAGGCCTCACCCAAGCTAAGCAGCAGCTTTTCCTCCCACTGAGCTACAGAACTGATCCTTTTAATTTTCTTGTTTTGTTTTATACTTTACTTTGTGAGTCTTATTAATTAAGTTGCCCAGACTCACTATAAACTTACTATAGCCCACAGAGGCTTCAAACTTGCCTCAGCTTCTCAAGTAGCTATAAAAAGACTATGATCAGTCCTGGTCCAGGACTGCTTTCTATGGTTAAAATGTGTATTATATGAATAGTCAGAAACACAAAACGGACACACTGGAGCAGTATAAAACACTAGGGCCTCTGGTGACTGAATCAGGACTTTGCACATCTTAAGAACATTCAACCACTGAGTACACCATCATCCCAGCACTAAATTTTAAAGCAGATAACCCATGGAACACATACTTAAGTAAATCAGTAAGTTTTAGGATTTGGTAGATCCTTTTTAAAGTCTGAAGTTTTTATTAAAACTAGGGGTTTTAACCATCATTAGCAAAAGCAACAAAAACTTTCAGCAAATAAACACTACACATCCAACAACAACAAAGGCCACTACGGGGAAAGCAATAAATCGTTACCTCCTCCTTACTTAACTGCAATGATGTGTGTGAGCCACTCCACTTAGTGATGTTGAGAATTGCAAAAGTCAAGTAAAAAGAGTATGATTATCCTTCTAGTTTTACAGTAACAAAATGAAAGACACAAGTTACACATTTTTAAAAATTATTCTCATAAAGAAAAATAAATTGTCAAAACATACTTAAAAACAGTATTAACATCAAGTTTAAGTTACATTGGTTTAACTTTCCCATGGATGTGGCACAAACAGAAGACAAAACAAACTCTAAAAAATGATACAAATTAAAGGAAAATCATCTTTAACAGTGAGTTATATTTAAGATCAGTTAGCATTTCTATAGCTCACAGTAGTTATGATTGACGTTTATGAAAATGGAATTGGGTTCACTATTGTTCCAACTGAGCTGGTTTTTACAGTATCCCAACATGTTGAGCCTCTCCTGCTGCTAACACACTTGAGGCTTCTTTGGATAAAGGATTAAACACTAAAAGATGACAAGAACTCTTACCGATTTTTCAGGGTCTTGTACTCCAGAAGTTGTAATTCCAAATGCTAAATCTTTTTCTCTAAACAAAATCAAGATTTTATGAATTGAAAAACTGTAGTAAACACACTTTGTCAAAATTGTAGTCATAAATGAAATAGGTCTGTATATGATGCCTATATAATACATTTCCAAATACAAAGAATTCCTTTGATAATAAAGCTTTAAAATCCAGAAGTCAAATTTCAACATAGTACACAGGAGTCTGTGATTTACATGTCAAGTGCTTAGAATACATAACACAAAATGAGTTCTGGAGATATTTCAAAGACAAAGTAATTTACACAGAATAAAAGACAAAAACAAAACCAAGTATTTCATGGAAAACAAGTAAAGCCTCTTTAAGAGCACTTGTATATTTTCATGCCAAAAAAGAAAGTCTCCGTAGCACTGGAGAGCTGCTCAGCAGTTCTGAGCCCTTGCTGCTCTTGCAGAGGACTCAGGCTCGGTGCTCAGCACCCACATGGCAACTCACAACCAGCTGGAACCCCAGTTCTACATATCCAGACACCCTCTCCTGGCCACCAAGGGAACCAAGAACACACACAGCATACACATTTTACATGCAGGCAAACAGGCAAAACACCAATATACATAATATAAAAATAAATCTTTAAAGAAAAGAAAATCTCAATAGTAGGGGACTTGCTTAACTAACAAGCACAAGCCTCTGGGTTTGAAGGCCAGCACTAAAAAATTAATTATTTTTTTAAAGATAGCTTGATAGTAGATATTAAGATATTACATTCTTCTTGGAAGTGAGAAAAAAATAACAAGGTAAGACTCAAATTCTTTAGAACCAATATTTTGATTCCTAATTTAAATGCTTCGAAGATTAAGAAAATTGTGAGAGGCCAAGAGGATTAAAACTGATTTGTTATGTCTGTGAAACTGTCAAAGGAAAATTAATCAAAAATAAAAGATTCTAAACAGGGTTGAACACGATGAAGCCCTGTGATTTACTATATTTTATACTACTGAGTGTGTGCTTACCATGTCTTATTTTCTTTCTTTCTTTCTTTTTTTTTTTTTTTTTTTTTTTGGTTTTTCGAGACAGGGTTTCTCTGTGTAGCCTTGGCTGTCCTGGAACTCACTCTGTAGACCAGGCAGGACTCGAACTCAGAAATCCGTCTGCCTCCCAAGTGCTGGGATTAAAGGCGTGCGCCACCACCGCCCGGCCCATGTCTTATTTTCAAAGTAAACTACTTTTGAGTCTGTATGTACATGGACACTAATCTAGCAGACACTGGTAGATTATTCACTATCAAGTTACAGTAGAAAAAACTGCCACTTATTCTTGTCATTTCACAAAAGTGCTTTCTGCTAAATGCAAGCTTTTCATTACCGTCTCTTCTTCTTCTGTTGCTCAGCTATCTGTTCCAGTAGTTCTTGCCTATATTTCTCTTTCCTTCTCTTGGTAAGTTCCCGATCTTCACCTCCTAGATAAGGAAAAAAAAATTCTTAACTCTTATGTATCACATGCAAGTAAAACTCAAGCGTAAGAAATTCAGTGTTTGGGCTGGAGAGATGGCTCAGCCATTAAAGACTAGGCTCACAACCAAAAATATAAGAAATTCAGTGTTTAAGTAATTATTATAAAAGAAATTACAGGAAAAGTCACATCAATACACCAAAAACTTTCTTAATTTATGAGTTTTAATCATAGGTCAAACATGACATGTATTGCTAACTGCAAAAACTTTCCTCTGAGTTAACAGAAGACTCTACTCTCCAGCCCCTTATACGGTGGTTTGAATGAGAAATATTCCTAAGTCCTGCACTTTGGACACTTGGTCCAAGTTGATGACACTGGGAGGTCAAAGGAAGTGTGCCTGGGTGGGCTGAGAACTTAAGGTCTTGCCTTACTTCCAGTTTGCTCTCTCTGCTTCATGCTGTGGTTTAAGTTGTAAATTCTCAGCTTTCTCCTCCTCCTACGCGGCCTATCACTTGCTTCCTTGCTGTCCTCTCCATAATGGAATCTAACCGTTTGCCACTAGACGCCAAATAAATGTTTCACCCAACAGAAGAGTTAACTAAGATACCTTAATAGCTTCTATAAACTTCTTAAATTTAACAAGTGTCCATCCGAAAGTGAAAACAGGTCTCACTATTCTAGTCATCTCAATAATTGACTTTCAATAACTGTGTACCATGGGCAAGGCCCTGAAGATATTTCTCTCTCCCCCCTCCCCTCCCCTCCCCCTCTTTCCCTCCCCCCCCATACACACACATAAAAAGTCGAAGAAATAAGAGTGTTAAAATAGCTAGTATTCCTATAAACATAATGGAGAAATGGAAGCTACTACAAAAAGGAAAACCCACATGAGGAGGTAGTCCATATACAAGATAAGAAGCCACAAAAGAGCATCACTCTGAGTCTACAATGAGAAGAGCTTCCATCATCCACAAAATTGTGACCTTGTTTTTTTTTTTTTAGTTTTTGGAGACAGGGTTTCTCTGTGTAGCCCTGGCTGTCCTGGAACTCACTCTGTAGACGAGGCTGGCCTCGAACTCAGAAATCTGCCTGCCTCAGCCTCCCAAGTGCTAGGACTAAAGGCGTGTGCCACCACCGCCCGGCTGTGACTTTTTTTTAAAAGTTCATCAAAAGCTGAGGTTGTCAATAAAAAGAAGAACTGAACATCAAGGAGTAAGTCAGTAATCATACAGAGGTGGGAACCCAAGCATCATAATGCTAGCAGACTATGGGAAGAGGCAGCCGCCCCATACAGTGCATCAAAGAAACCAGCTGATCCTTCAACAGATTCTTAAAAGCCATGTGTGCATTAGAGTAAACTTCAGAGTCCCAGAAGTTCCAGACAAGAGGAATTTCTAATCATTTGCTGGCCATAGCAGCAATACAGAGGTTCTGAAAGAGACCCTTCCATGGCCCTTAGGCATACCATATGTCTTGCTTTCCAAACTTCTCTGATACAAACAGCTGTCATCATTTGGTGAGGGTCAGGGAACTGCTTTGGACCCTGTGTCCTCTTCTCATACCTAGTGAAGTTAAATTAATGCCAGTAAATCCTGAAGAAAACTCTACACAAACATAAGCCACCACTCCGGGGGAAAGATAGGAACCCTGAGAAAAACACATTCCTGAGACAGACAGAGACAGCCCTCCACCAAACAGCACCAATAGTCTATCGTCTTCATCAGGTGCACAAAAGTCCTGCTGAAACCTGCTGAACAAGACTGCTCAAAGAAATCCCTGCCCCTCCCATCTATGGGCAAGAAGGTCAGATAATTAATACTTCTCTATATAACTGCAAAACCAGAAAAAAACAAATCATTAAGATCAACTAGCCTGATTTAACTGAGTTACAAACCATTATGATTGACAACCAGACCATAAACAATGTTTCAAATACGTTCTGTATTTTCTAAGCCATTAAAAAGATTATTTACATAGGCATGGTGGCTCATGCATGTGATCTCAATAGATCTCAAGTTGATGTCCAACCTGCACTACAGCAATTTTTTGAGACAGTGTTTCAGAAAACAAAAGAAAAAGAAGAAAAGAAGCGCACACATGTAATTTCGGCACTTAGAAGGTAGTAGTTTTGTGAATTCAGTCAGCCTGAGCTACAAAGCAAGTTCTAATCCAACTTGGGTTACTCAAAGAGATTCTGTCTCAAATATGCTAAATAAAAAATATAAATGTTTTAAAATCTTTTAATAAATCCCACAAACTTGAAATAATAAAGATGTTGTGAATTGTGCTATAAGAGACACCAAAAAGCATTAAGAATGTAGCTCTGTGGTATAATTCTTAGCTGGTAGGCACAACAGTGCTCAACTCAATCCCTAGGACTGAGATACAAACAGGCAGTAACAAAACTACAAAACTGAAGGAAAGCTTTCAATTGTATAAATTCAAATATATACTTCTAAGTAATTTGTTTACTTCTAAATGCCACAGTACATAGTTATTTCCCTCCAAACTTGCTCACACCCTCTTCCCAACTCCGCCCTGCTAAGAAAGGGTGTGTATCAGTGGTTTTTAACCTTCCTAATGCTGTGACCCTTTAACAGAGTTCCTTACATTCTGATGACCCCAACTATAAAATTATTTCATTGCTACTTCATAACTGCAATTTTGCTACTGTTATGAACTGTTATGTAAATAAATATCAGATATTCAGGATATCTGATATGCAACCCCTGTGAGAGTTGAGACAGACAGACAGAGGTCTATGTAGCCCTGACTGTCCTGACATTCATTAGGTAGACCAGGAGGGCCCCAGATGCACAGAGATCTGCTTGTCTCTACCTCACCTCCAACTACTGCGATTAAAAGTGTGTACTATCATGTTCAGATTAGTTTTGTTTTTTAATAAAGTAAAAGTCACAAATGACTTTTCATCTGAAGCTAAACAACAGGAAAATAAATTTTAGTATAAGTGGAGTTAGAGATCCACCACCTTTAGAGAGATGCAAGCTCCCTATCTGTGCAAACCTCCTCAGGGATAGAGATCCTCAAATGTAGGATAAACCATCAGTTTGAATATGTCAGTCGTTCACGGCAAACACTCAACTACTGTGTTGCTCATAGCCCCTGACTACACACCGGTCATCTGTCCATGCCTCTGCAGATGGCAGAGTAAATTTCTTACTGATAAAATTAATTTTCAGTCCACTCTCAGCTTACCACTTCTCCTTTTACCATCCGTTAAAAATACAGCATAAACTTGATCAAACCTTATTGGCAACAAGAACTAAGTTTTTGTGAACATAACCATCTTTCTCACAATAGTAATTTCTAGGAAATAAATGTCTAAAATTACCAGGTGACTATGTCTCAAAGACAAAATTTAACTTACTGACTGCTTTTAGGTTGGATCAACCTAATATGCTATTCAATTTTCTCACATACCTTACTAAAAACCAAATTTTAGTATCCATTCAAAGAACAACTTTTGTATACAAAGCTATAAGCAAAAACCAAGGCTCACCATACCATTTCTGAAATGAAATGAGGACAAACATAATATAGCAAACCAAAAGAACTATATTTAGTAATAACCTTTAACTTTGATTAAAAATTAGAAAATTTGGGTCATCATGATTTTGAAAAAAAAATTCAGAAACTATATAAAAAGAACAAGTATGATGGTTTGAATATAAATGGTCCCCCACCAGTTCATTTATTTTGAATGCTTAGTCACTGGGATGGAACTCTTGATAAGATTAGAAGGATTAGGATAGCCCTGCTGGAGAAAGTGTCTCACTAGGGGTGAGCTTTAAGGTTTTAAAAGCCCATGAGAAGCCCAAGAGTCTTTCTAGTCTCTGAGAGTCTCAGTCTCTTTTTTAGTTCTCTCTGTCTGTCTGTATAACTATGTCTGTGTCTGTCTCTCACAGTCTCCTCTCTCTCTCTCTCTCTCTCTCTCTCTCTCTCTCTCTCTCTCACACACACACACACACACACACACACACACACTAGAATAGTGATTAAGGGAACAAGAAGGGTAGAATGGAGTATTCAAAAGAAGTGAACTAAAATACAAGAAATAAGCAAAGAATCAAGAGTTACACATAAGCCGGGCAGTGGTGGCTCAGGCCTTTAATCCCAGCACTTGGGAGGCAGAGGCAGGCAGAGGCAGGCAGATTTCTGAGTTCGAGGCCAGCCTGGTCTACAGAGTGAGTTCCAGGACAGCCAGGGCTACACAGAGAAACCCTGTCTCGACAAACCAAAAAAAAAAAAAAAAAAAAGAGTTACACATAAAACATAATAAAAAGAAACATTCATAATACGACAAAATCCTAGCTAAAAATAAATAAATAAATAAAACCTTATTACTCAAACTGATTTTAGCTATCATCTATAACACATATAGCTAATTTAGTTATTTAGCTTTAAGATATCAACAGTTCTATACAATGCATGCTAAATGCTTAGTATGATACCCATCATAAAGTAAGCCTCAATAATTGCCTGCTGTTACTCACAAAGTCATCATTACTTAGAACATTGAGTTCTCACTAAGGACATTTAATTCAACTGAAAGTGCTGGACATACCAAAGAGCATGCCTGCAAAGGGACTCGTGATATCGAGATCAGCAGATCTGGGTGGTCCATTATCATGAACACTAAAACAAACAATATGAGAGAGCAAATATTAAAATCCAGTTATTTTTAGGAAATCAAATTTCAACATAAAGTCTAGGAACAGTGGTGCATGCCATTAATGACAGCACTTGGGAGGCTGAAGCAAAGGATTATAAGGTGGAGGCCAGCCTGGGCTACACAGCAAAATTGAATTACATGTAAAAACCCCATGCCTTGAAGGACAAAAAATAAGGAGCTGAGATGGCTCAGTGAGTAAATTACTTGGAAAACGTGAAGACCTGTGTCCAACTCTCAGCACACAGACAAGAGCACCAGTGCATGTCTATAATCCCACAGCTGGGAAGGTGAATCAACAGCGTCCCTAGAGTTTGCTGGCCAGCCATGCCAGCTCCAGATTCAGGCAAAGTCCCATCTCTGAGAACACAGTGGAACAGGATGGAGGAAGACACTAGACTTCACCTCCAGCCTTCACAAACACCTGTACATACATGTACCCTTGAAGAAAAAAAGTGAATTATCCTTTCTTTCAACAATGCTACTATGGTATTTTATTTCTTTATTCTTCAGCCTGTTTAACTGGGTCCACAGATTAAATATCTTTTTTATATGAAATAACACACACACACACACACACACACGCACGCACGCACGCACGCACGCACACAAACACACACAAACGCACACACGCGCGCACACACACCTCCTAACTGTATTCTCATTTAGAAAAGAAAACTATCCCTTTAGGGTAAAAAAATCTTTAAAAAGAATTTAAAAAACAAACTTTCTTGAAAAAAAAAAAACAGATCCTCAATGAAAACTTAATTGAAACAAACAGTAAGTTTTCTAACAGGCAGGGGTGATACTTACTTTTGTTCTCTAAGAAAGGACACTGCTCAGGACACAGCACACCCATCAACTTCATTATATTGTATGCAAAGACACTTTACTCTGCCTTCCTGATCAGCATACACCAACCTTACAAGTTCAAGTTCCACTGAGATCTTTTCATACACGCATATAATGTAGTTCCATCATACTCAGTTCCACGTTACCCTCTCATGCTCCTGCCCCACCACTTCCTGATCTAGTCCTCTTTTGGAGGGCAGGGGAAGAGGTCTCATGCACCCCAACTTCACCTTGAATTCCCTCTAATGCCTAGAAGAATCTTCAGTGCTGGGGTCACAGGTGTGCTCCACCATGTGAGGTTTGCACTATGCTGGCGGTTAATTCCTGGGCTTTGTCCATGTGAACAACCATCTGCCACTCGGCCACATCCCTAGAGCTCATGTAGTTTTGCTTTACATTTCATCAATTTTAAATTTTTTGTTTGTGTTCATAATACATATGGCATGGTTCAAGTGTGGAGGTCAGAGGTCACCCTTGGCAGTTGTCTCCCATACAACGTGGATTCCAAGGATCCACTCAGGTCATTAGGCCTGTGGCAAGCACCTTCACCTACTGAGGCATCTTGATGGTCCATCTGTTTTCTTTAGGTTGTTTTTTTAAAAAACTATTCATACTTATGGACAACACAGAAAAGCATCAAAATAAAACTATAAAGTTATTTGCTTTGTTATCAATAGAAATTTGAATACTAATTTTATAGTGTAAGCATTAAAACTCCAACAAGCAAAAGATAAATAAAAGACAAACTTAAAAACTCATACTGCAGGGACATTTTCAATCCATTTTCAGCCCAACTACAGTAGCATGACTTCAAGGTAATCTTTACGTATGTGTATGTGCCTGCTGAAGTATCAGACTCCTCTGGCACTGGAACTACAGGCAGCTGCTAAGCCATCAGATATGCTGCAAGACTCAAACCTGAGTCCTCTGCAAGAACAGGATAACTTCTTAACCACTGTGTCATCTCTGCAGTCACAATTCCAAGATGTTTCAAATTCATTATAACACCATTCAATTATGTTACTTCTCCTTAATTCTTTCAAACTAATGTATATATTTTATGAGAGAGGTTTATGCTGAAAACCCTGCTAAGCTTTACTAAAAAAATTATTCTTGAAAATAATGGTACAGGCCTAGGGTTGTAGCTCAGTGGTAAAGTGCTTGCCTTACCCAATGATTTGTGTTCAAGCCATAGCACAGGAGGAGGATAGAAAACAGAGAGAATGCTGAAGGAAATAAGTACCTTCTTTCTTCCCTACTATTTCCTCTCACTAGTAAAGGGGGCTTGCTAATATACAATACTTTTCTACTTTTTCCTGAAGCCAGTTTTAGGCAGGTGCTGTCTCAGAGTGTGAAGACTCAAGGGGAGAATTGCTGTCACGTACCTTTTATTTTCAGCAGATGAGATCTGTGTGTTTGACTCTTCTGTAACATCCTCCCCGTCCACATACCCTCGTCTGCTCCCATGCGGCCTTAAAAACACATTAGCTTATAGAGCACGTCCCACATGCAGTGGCTCTTATTATATCTCTAGAGCTCTGTAGTCTGTTAGCACTACGCTGAGCAAGACATTTTGCTGACAGTTTACTGCAAATGCGTCCTAACGTTAATTCAAATTAGATTTGCCTCAAATATGATCTGCTAGTTAACAAGAAATAGTAAGAATTTACATCCGCCAAGCAGTGGTGGCGCACGCCTTTAATCCCAGCACTTGGGAGGAAGAGGCAGGCGGATTTCTGAGTTCGAGGCCAGCCTGGTCTACAGAGTGAGTTCCAGGACAGCCAGGGCTACACAGAGAAACCCTGTCTCGAAAAAACAAAAAAAAAAAAAGAAAAAAATTTACATCCAAGTTTGCTGGTGTTTTCACGTATAAGAATATACTAGAGAAGTTCTCTATAATGCTATAACGTCAGGCCCTAATACATGAATTTTAACTGAAATTATTATAAACTATTTCTATAACTTCTAGAATATTTTATTTCAATATTTTAATGCTTTTTTAATTTTAAAAAATTAAATATTTTAATTTGTGTGTGTGTGTGTGTGTGTACACTCTCATGTGTGTACACAAGCCATATCTTTGCTGATGCCTGAGGAGGCCAGAAGGTGTCAGATCAACTAGAACTTGGGTTAGAAGAGGTTGTAGGTCATTCAGTGTAGGTGCTGGAAACTGAACTCAGGTCCTCTGGAAAAGCAGGAAGAGCTCTTAACCTCTGAGCCGTCTCTCCAGCTATAGATATAAGATAACACACTAACATATTTGTATCAATTGGTTAACACAGTAATTACAGGCACTGTCAGCAAGCCAAGCCTTATTCTGGACATGGAGCAGACAACATCCCTGTACACACTGAAGTTTACAGGCAGAACTCAAAACAAAATTGTTTTTTGATTAAGACACATACATCCTGGGAATTCTTTCATTATATATAAAACCAAGATTTTTAAATTAAAAATTGGTACCATAAAATCCACGGAAGAATGAAGAAGCTAAACAGAAAACATTTTAAAACAATCTGATGCAGAGCAGACCTGAAGAACTTTCACTTTACTTATAAGATCATAAAGAATAAAAATAAAGTTAGAATTTATTTTCTTCTATAAAAAAGCAGACATTTAAAACAGTGAAAATGTTTTCAACTATCTTTCTTTTTCCATTTGGCAAACACTGATTTGTTTTTTAATTTTTTTTAGTATAATTTCTTATGCCAGAGAAACCAGCATAAATTTTTATATGAACATTGATTAGCATCCACAATAAACATTTCACAGGTTATATTTCTTTATGTGGCTGTTAACAAATTATATTTTCCTTCTGAAGAAGATGAAAAGTATGCTTGAAAAACTGTACCATTTAACATAAAAGTCGCTGATCAGATTAAGAATTCTGGCCATGTTCAGCTGTGAAAGAAACAAGTACATTCTCCAACAAGCCTGCCTACCATGGTGCTCACATGGTCCTACCACAAACTACAACCACACTTATCTGGAGGAAACCTGTTCACATAGTAATCCTAATAACACAGTGGCATTGCCATGGAAACAGCAATGGCTTCCAGTTTATACCCATATCTAGCACAGTATCCCCCACACCATTTTAAAGTTTACATCGATTTAACGTCTTTAAAAAGCTAGCATTATTTAAACTGAAGCACAGATGCTCCAATCTCTTTTAAACTAACACGTCAATCTAGTTTCTACCACTTAGAGTAAAGGTAAATGCAAACACAGATTCCAGTTTTTAATTAACTGGAGTTCATAACTACCATGACCTTCATATTTAGTTACACTGCATCAATATAATACACGTGTGTAGAAAATCTAGTGCAGCCGGCTCAAAAATGCCTACACTAATAAAGGGCTACTACATAGGTAGCCCTTGGTTGTCACCTTACAACATAGGTTTCAGGAGGTTCCCACCAGTTTAAGAACTAATTAATCAATGTGTCACTGTTCATAACCTATTTGCACAAACAATATAGGCTATAAAGAAACACTTGCTCTCCTATAGGAAGCCAGAATCTTAGCTTGTGCTAGGACAGAGCATATACATAAGCAGACCTCAATACTTTACACACTGCGCCCCAAGTCAGTGCTGTGGGAATTGTAGCTTCTGTGTTGTCTGCCACTGAAATTTCCAAACGAGGCATCTGATTTGCCTCTGATCCTGCCCCATGCACCTTTCCCCTTTGTTGGTCTTCCTTTCTGTCCTAAGTAAATCACTGCTGTCTGCTGGGTGTGTTGGTGTGTCTGAAATCCTACCACTCAGAAGGCTAAGGCAAAAAAAATAAATAAAACAAATCAAAAAGACTACCAGATGTTTGAGGCCTGCCTGGGCAGAGCAAGATGTTATCTCAATAAAACTAAAATAAACAGAGTCACAGCTTTGAGTATGAGTCTACACAAAACACTGTGAGCCGCTCTCAAGAATCGCCAAGCTTAGAAATGGTGTTAGGGACCTGACATGACACACAAAAGTAGATTCACTGGTGTGGTAAGGAGATATCTACTTCAGTACAAATACATTTAATAGTTAAACAGAGAAATACAGACTGGAGAGATGGCTGAGAGGTTAAGAGCACTAGCTGCTCTCCCAGAGGGTCGTGAATTCAATTCTCAGAAAGCATACGGTGACTCATAATTATCTATAATGAGATCTCGTGCCCTCTTCTGGCATGTAGACAGAGTACTACATACATAATAAATAAATCTTTAAAAAGGGGGGGGGGACATTTTTTTTTAAAGCATAACTTCAGGTCCCAGAATTAAAAGACAATTAAAAACATAGAAATTTGTTCTAAAATTTACCTAAGAACTACAGCTTCCTGCATTTTCAGCTAACTTGTCTAAAAACAATATTTGTATTTATATAACCTTAATATACTTGATTGTAATAGTCAGTACCAAGAATCTACACAAAAATATAGCTCATGAGTTCAACACATATACAGATCATAACACAAGCATCATATTACCAAAAAGTTATCCTGAACCATACTAAACTTACAAAGTTTAACACGTTATCTTAGATAGCTTAAGATCGAGGTTGTTGCTAATAAATAAAACTACAAAGGCCATAGAATAATACAAGATCTTTTAAAACCCTTCAGATATAGAGATCCATGAAACTGAGATGTAGTTTAGAATCTTAGTCAAGTTTTCATTCTTAGACTAAAATTCCAATAGCCATATTGAATCTCCATATATTTCACCTTTCTGCAGCAATGGGTATTAAACTCGAGGACTTAAAAATACTGGGTAGGCTGTACAGTGATGATGCACATCTTTAATGCCAGCATTTGAAGGCAGAGGCAGGTGGATCTCTGTGAGTTCAAGGCCAGTGGTCTACAGAGTGAGTGAGTGAGTTTGAGGACAGCCAAGGCTACACAAAGAAACCTTGTTAAAAATCTAAACAAGACAATAACTGAGTAAACAAGCACTCTATCATTATGCTACATCATAGCCAACTGATTCTGTTTTTTTAAAAAACTATTATTTTTATGGAATTTACTAATTTTCCTGTTAATTAAGAAGCTTTACCTTAACATTTGATGTATTTTCTCTCAGTTCTCTTTAGTTTACAATGATAATTTGTATGGTAGATTAACAGCTCTTATTGGAAATTTTCTGGAAGCGAGTAGGTACCTCAACATTGCTGTCTCACAGCCTCTCAGCTTAAGCGCCCTCTATGCTACCCAGCTGCAGTGCACTGATATCTAAGAATACTCAGACCAATGCCTGAGAGGCTCTCTGATTGGCTATAACATCAGAGCTACAGCCAAATGAAAGTTACTCTTATGACCTAGAAATGATCTGAAAAGGGTTAAACCTCTCTATAGTTATTACATACACAGGTTCACATGTGACACTTCAATCCATCAATATTGCCCTTAATATTCAAAGACATGAATTAGTACATTTAAATAGGAATTATTTTGATTTACATTTTGAAGAAATGTAAGTGCTTAGACCCTTTTGTCAAAAAGGAATTGCCCTCATAAAAGAAAACAATTTGCTTCTTCTCATACACAACTCAAAATATGATCCAGAGACTGAAGTAACTGCAAATTTTCATCATCCTACTACCAGAAAAAAAAAAAAGGCATGCATGTTAAAAGAAAACTTTCTCCTCCCTCTTCTCCTGAACACTTGCTGCTCTCACAGTGGCACATGTTTGGCTGCCAGGCACTTACAACAAGGGGAATCCAACACCCTCTTCTGGTCTCCAAAGATACTCACAAACATGTATATCACATTTATATAAATAAAAAACAAAAATTTAAAAAAATCATAGTGCCCAAAGAAACAAAGTTCACATCAGAAGCCAAGTTTATGCTAAAAATTAATGTATGTTAATGTTCTTTTTTAAAGAACTGGAGTCTTCAAAAGTAGAATTTTCAACATGAATGAAGAACTCCTAAATGATAATGAATACCTTTTTCTTTTTTCCTACTTCAGAAGTGAATGTGAAACGTTCAGACTTATAAAGAACAAACTATAAAAATAAACTATCAGGCCAGGCAGTGGTGGCACCTCTCTTTAATCACAGCACTCAAGAAGCAGAAGAGGAGGCTGAGACTCTCTTAGTTCAAAGCCAGCCTGGTCTACAGAGCAGTTCCCAGGACACCCAGGACTACACGGAGAAATCCTGTCTCGAGAATCCAAAACTAAAACAAATACCATCTGTAACTTCTAAAATGATATAGAACACACAGTAGATGACTCTTAATTTCTCTTAACTTTAAAAGAAACCGCTAGGGCCAGTAAGATAGCCCAGCAGGCTATGGTCTGATGAGGTCAATTCCCATACCATGTGGTAGATGAAACTTAAGGTAAATGGTTGACATATGACCTCTACAAGTGCAGTAAATGAACCCCCATTTTTTTTAAAAAAAGTGTAATTCTAAAAAAGAAAAGAAACTACCAAATTCTTTGCTTTCATATCAAGAATATCTCTCTTTGGGTGCTCCTACCTGCAATTCCAGCACTTCAGAAGCCGAGGCAAAATGATTGTCCTGAGTTAAAGGGCAAGCTGAGCTGTATTTAGTCTTGGGTCAACAGGTGCTAAGAACCTTTCTCAAAAAAATTTTAAACAATTAAAAAAAGATGTCTAAGTTTCCATGTATCTAAGTATGTAAATGTCCATGTATCTTACTACTACATTGTATGAGTTTTTACCTATCCAAGCATGTGAGTGAAATGTCTTGCCACTGACATGTGTGTGTTTCCACACATGTGAGAGATTTATCTTGCTACTAAGCTGTGTGAGTTTCCATGCATCCATGCACACGAGTGATGTAACTGGCTACTGAGTTCTGCTCTCAGGCTTTCTGAGATACTACTGTAAGTAACATTAACCCATCGTTTCCAGTCCTCTTCCAACTTCTATAGTTAGTATTTTTCTAGTATCTTTAATGTGGGGAAAAAAATCTGTTTAAATGGGACTAGAGAGATGCTTCAGCAATCAGAACATATAATGCTCTTGTGGAAAACCTTGGTTCATTTTCCGGAACCATATGAGATGGCTGACAACAGGCTGAAGCTCCAGCTCCAGGGGATCTGAAACCCTCTGACCTCCCCCATTGTGTGCATGCACATTGTACACATAAACTTAGATGAGGACACATATAGACACATAAAATTTTTAAAAATGAATCTTTCTTAAAATTACTAACATGACCTTTGTGAAGAAAAATTAAAAGAACAAAGTGAGAAGCAAACACCAATGGATAGCTTCTAATTAGACAATTCTCATTTATGTCTTACATACTAAACCTAAGGGAATATAGTAGACTAGGTAGGCACTTAATCTATGTGATTCGTACAGATTCAATCTTCAGAGAAAGAACTATTTCAGCCGGGCGGTGGTGGCGCACGTCTTTAATCCCAGCACTTGGGAGGCAGAGGCAGGTGGATTTCTGAGTTCGAGGCCAGCCTGGTCTACAAAGTGAGTTCCAGGACAGCCAGGGCTACACAGAGAAACCCTGTCTCGAAACCCCCCCCCAAAAAAAAATAAATAAATAAAATAAAAAGAACTATTTCAGAACTTTACTAAATATCTGTTAATTATAAATATGCAACTATATTTAAATAGATTGGAAATGTTAACCACATTAATCACACAAAAACTGCAAAACAGCATTTCCAATACTGAAAACTTCCTTGACTAATTAATATTAAAGTAAAACATTAAAAAGATAATATATTAACTTCTACTACTCAGTTAATAAATAATAAGTACTAGCACAGGCTACATTTTAAGAATCCATAATTCAAAGTACCATTTAAAAAAAAAACCTATTTACATTCAACTTCAGAAAGCTCCTAAACACCAATTTTACTCATTAGTTTATACACATAAACAATATACACAAACACACAGAATACAAATCGTTAGTCACAGTGAGAACCACTTTGTTAATTGTTTAAGTACACTGACCAATTCATGGTATGACTTTAGGGGGGTAAAAAAAAAGCACTTCCTGGAGAACTTTGACTGCCCTATCTTTAACATAAGAAAAAATGTACCGCCGGGCGGTGGTGGCGCACGCCTTTAATCCCAGCACTTGGGAGGCAGAGGCAGGTGGATTTCTGAGTTCGAGAGTTCGAGGCTAGCCTGGTCTACAGAGTGAGTTCCAGGACAGCCAGGGCTACACAGAGAAACCCTGTCTCGAAAAAACCAAACCACCAAAAAAAAAAAAAAAAAAAAAAAAAAAAAAAGTACCATTCATTATATATCAGGTATGTTAGGAAGTTGTAAGATAATTAGAAAGAAACTGATACCAAAATAAAAATAAAGCATCGCTATAAAAGTAGAATTGATCAAAAACTTAACTTTCAAAAATGCAGGAACAAGGAAATCTCAGAAAGTAAATAGGGTTATTTTGTTTATTAACAACTATCCCCATTAAATATAACCTATGGAATGATTAATGTGAATTCTTTTTTTTCAATGAGAAGGGGTGAATATATAACCTGTATTATCAAGAAACATGAGAAACAGCCAAATACATGGAGATATGGCAGCTGACACATTAACAAAATGTAGCCTTCTAGTTTGAAGAAATAGTGTTCAGAATTGAGATCACAAGTAAGAACTCAACCTTAAGTAATCTCAATACGATTTAAGAAAATTGATAGAGAAAAGTCAGTCCACTATGAGGTAATGATATAGTCCTCAAATGATTAGAATAGAACTAACTGATTTGTTTTCATTGTGAAAAACAAGGCATCAATTGTTATAAGTCTCATAAAATTCCAAACGTAAAGCTATGTTTTCATTTAAAAGTTCTACAAAGTTCTCAGGTCCAGAGAAGACACCATCAAGACTCCAGAAGTACCTGTGGTTCCCAAACTGAGAACTGAGAGGTCTTTAATAAACTTTAAATATAAGATATTAAAGGATTTGGAGCATTTTCTGAAGTACGAATAATTAGATTCAGTTCAAAGAAACTACAATACACAATCCACATTTCTAATTCTTTTTTTTTCACATTTCTAATTCTTGATACTAGATTTGAATTCACGTTATCTACACTAAGATACAGAGTAAAGACAGATGTTAGCTTTGTATTGTCATTAGTAATCAAAATACTGGCAATACAGCATCAATTCCTGATAATATTTTCTGAAATGCTAAAAAATTAAATATTCAGACTATTAAAACAGGTCGCAAAATTTACAAGTCAGTCCTTTAAATGACAAATGTAGGCTCTGTAGTATTTCTGTAGCTAATAGTTAGGAAAATATATGCCAAGTTATATAATATGGTAAATGAAAATAACAACCTATAGTTAAGAAGTTCCAAATGACATCACAAAATCAATAGTTAAAGGAACTGAAAAAAGTTAATTACATAAAAGTCCACTTAAAATACATTAATAAAGACACTTAAAATGTACAAACAGTTAAGGCACAAACTGTATTTCATCTGTGTCACAATGCCCCTTTTTCTATACATTTTAACATCTAAAATTGGGATACTAGCTTTAACCTACTGCACAGAGAAGTGGGCTTTATCCCTGTCAGTCATCTGGGAAGCTATGATCCAAAATGAGTTCTTACCTTGCCATTTGGCAACAGGAATCTAGACTGAATCTGAATCCATTGCTGCTTTAGAATTCAAATTCACATGCAAGATTTTTGGTTCTTTTTTATCTCCTACTTGGTTAGGGCTGAGACAAGAAATCTCCTCTATGGGAAGGTTTCCATCACTTTTAAATTAAGGGTATACACTTTCCACTTTCTAGCTTTACCCAGGGTCCTCATTTTGAGTGTTTTCTTTATCCCCTTCAATGACACATAAAATAATGGTGTTTCACAAAACAGACAGTATAACTAAATTAAGTATGGTAAATCAAATAAAACTGTTCTTCCCAATGTACCTATCAAACTAAGAGCAATATTAAGTAAATAAGAGAATAAAAATGAAGATGTAAGTACCTGTCATTTGTATAGACTCTCAAAAGTCTTCTATCAAAGTCACTTTCAAATCTAAACCTCTCGTCCATTTCTTCACTGATGTCAGGATCTCTCTCAGCTCTACAATATTGTTTGTCAACCATACGCTCCTCATTAAACCTGCGAGCTCTTCTCTCTGGAACACCAGCCTTGCTGGAAAAGCTTTGATGTTTTGCACCAGAAATGCCTATTTCTTCATTTGTCTGTTTAAGCAGTCTTCTGTTCCTTAATTCAATTTCATCATCTAGCTGTTGGTATCGGTCCTCCCCTCGCCGTCTTTGGCTTAGAAGCTCTTCGTATGAAGGTCTCTCTGAATGTATGTATGAAGTCTGTGTTTGTGAAGGTAGATCAAATTTACCTTGACTAACAGGGTTTTTATTTCTTTGAGTCTTAGGCTATTAAGTCAAAAAAGAAACAAAGCTTAATGAGACATTATCATATAAAATTTAATTAAAGTCTTTATTACATAAAAGTCTAATAACTATCCTTAAAATACATTAGTATATATATCAACTTTGATATTTAATCAAAAAAGCTATTAAAGGAGAAAAATAAATGAATCTTTTTTTAAAAAGCCATAGAGAATCATTAATTTATATTTATCTAAAATTACATATATAATATGTTACATGTATGTGTGATAAATTATGTCAGTCAAGTATAGTGGCACATGCCTTCAATCAAGGCTGAGACAGGTGTACAGTTAAGAGCCCAGACTGGTGTACAGACAACTAATGACAGGTGAGAAGGGAGAAACTCTTCCACAAGAATGAACTCCTAACTGGATACCAACACCAAGTGGTCACCCCTTAAATCATACATACATAAAAGCACTGTTAAATGAACTCCACAGGTCTACATTTATACATTTATACATTGTGTGCATGTGTGTGTGTGTGCGTGTGTAACAGTAACAAAGAAAAGGAAGCTATATATTTGAAAGGGAATAGGGAGAAACATGGAAAGAGTTAAAGGGAGGAGATAAAAGAAAAGGAATGATATATTTTTTAAAAGATTTAAAAAAATAAAATTTTAAAAAGAACTCCATCTTTCAATTATCCTGTTACATGAATAAAGTAGCCTAGAAACTGTCAAAATTTAAAAACCACTTACAAAGTCAAGGACAGTGGAGCAAACTCATGCAGGTGATATTAAAAATCACTTTATAAAAGTAAAACATACCTCAATATTCTTTTCTACCTGTCTGACTTTTTCTATGGATTCTTCCTTATCCCTGAGAAATTGATTGTATTCTCGGTTGCGTTCAAGTTTCAACCTTTCCTTTACAAAAAAATTGAAAGGCAATGTTAACTTCAACTTCAGGGAGGAGGGGAGCTTTTCTATGGAAGCAGAATCATACGCATCAGAACTCTTAGCTTCCCTCATGGTTTTAAGGATAAGGAGTCACTGAAGGGCACGGACAGTAAACGAACCCACACTGTAGCTCTCTAAGTCTCTGCTGCCATGTTCAAATATACATGAATATATGCTGTTTGATTCATTAACACATGAAGTCACTAATAGACTGGAACTACTCCAGTTATAAACCATCTTGATTCTTTTTTCCTAGTGCCTCTCAGTATCATATCCCTCCTGTAATCCCCTAGACCACTAAAAAACTTAGTACGATTTTATTCCCCAAGTTAAAGGGCTATTAAACACAAAATGATAAAAATTATACACATACATTAAAATACCGTAATAGAACTGTTCTGTTTAAATATATTGTAGTATGACATTTTCTTAAATCCTAATGTGTTCAATGTCACTGTAACAACACAATCTAAAAGAGTACAAGTAAGGTCTGCTTTTTGAAACTTAATAACTGTCCATATGTCTTACATACTTTATTTAATGTTGCTATCGTCTCTTAGACAATCAGGGTTTGTATCACTGGAGTGATAGAAACACAGTTGGCCCAGCAATACTACCTTTCACATCTACCCATGTCACTGACAACTGGTATCACACAGACTTTGTGACTCAGATATCAATGTTAAAATAATAAACTGAATATTTAAGCAAATAAAACCAGAAAAGAATCATCACATTAAAGAACTCTTTCACTAACGTCACTATCATTAATGTTTAAAATAAGTTTTCAAATGACTCAGCTAGAAATTCCATAGACTTTTTAAAAGCTTATACTCAAGTAGGCAGAAATGATGTAATTAAAAGTATTTTCCCTCATGATCTTGTAGCCTCAGGAAACTCTTACTCCTATCCACCTACCTTGGCAGACAACCGCTCATCGATAGGAAGAGAAACTCCCAGAGTAGATGGGTCTGTTTCACTAGTAGATAGGAAATTTTTCTGTGTATGTGCACATTAAAAAAATACATTAGCTAATTGGTTTTCTAGGTCTCAAAACTTCCTTACATCCTACATTCTAACCCACTCTATAATGAACAGCAAGATGAAATGGAGATGAATTCAGAGTCCAGTCTCAAAAGCACACAAAAGTGACTATGAAAACCAATCGTTTTCAAATCAACTCCTTGAAAAAGAGATTCAAGCTTGAACTTAGATTTACAACACATACATATCTCCTGAATCAAGGTGATTAAATCATGGAAAGAGATGATTTTTTCCAGTTTATATTCCTCTAAGTATGTATTCTTCATTCTTTTAACTTCTTCACCAAGAAGAAGTTTTGATGTCTGTTATAGTTATCTAAATAAATATATGCACAGAATCCTAAAACTAAACTTCGAATCTGTTGTGTGTCACTCATGTCCACTAAGCATTCCTTATAGAACAATACTGAGTGAGCATCCAAAGACCTAGAACTCCAGCTTCTACAACTAACATCTACACACGCGTCACCCAACACTGACCAAGTCACTTAATTTCTCTGCTACACATTCTTTCATAAAGTACGAATGGCACCTGTTCTACACACAAAGTTAGAGTAGGGATCAAAGAAGTATAAAATATAACGTCTCTTTGAACACTTTAAATAAAGCAAATGAAAAAATCTTTTGACTACTTAGTCAAAAATGCTAAATAAGTCACTTAGCTTCTTTGCTTCAGCTTCTTCACCTCTAAATTGGGAAATATCCTCTATAATACTATATCATAGAAGCTAAATCAGTATATGTTTGCCTAGCTAATTTCCTGCATGCATGAAATCATTAAACAATTATTGACCGTTTAATGCTTTCCTGTTACTAGTTTAAATGTCAAGAAAATAATAAAAAGCTTATGTTCCCTCTAACCCTTCAGTAACAAAACAAATAACAGCAATATAATGCACTAACGGCTTAAATGCCATTATATTAAAAGCATGGGGTGTTTGATGGACTGTATATAATAAATCAAGTCACTAATGAAGTCCCAATAAATCTAAAGTTACAAAAACTAATTTGAAAGTTAGTATGGGACTCTAATAAGCTTCTCTGTAAAAAGAAACTAACAAGAACTGACTGGATCCTAGTTCTGCTCACCACCATGCCCAAGTACACTATACACCTAATCATTTTAAAGAAAAGCCCCTGCCCCCTG